TCACGACTACAACGGACTGGCATTCGTAATACAGTACAGGTATACGGTCGCCTGGCAAAGAACGCGTCATATGAACTCCGTTCGGAACGCAAAAGAGAAAATAATCTCCCGTTACGTTTTCCAATTTACGCGACGAGAACATGACGTCCCGGAGGATCCTTGAGAAAGCCGCTATTACGGCCGGTCAAGCCTACGCTCTCTAGGCCAGGGGCTAGGCTAGGCTATTTCCGCGATTCAGCTTATGGACCGAAATAGTCGTAGAGAGAACATCGGGACGAGAAAATGTTGGTACTGTCCACACAGGAGGATCCCAGGGTGTCTGGTCGGAGCACGGAATTAATCTCACTTCTTTTTCATTCGATTTTTCATCATCGTTCGACAGCGTACAGCTGAGAATTCGAATTCTCGCCGCCTGCGCCCGGTTTAGTTTTCTAAACACATCGGGGGATTAAGATAGACAGTAATCTAGCAGAGACGCCGCTATAGATCTCCGCGGATTATGTAATATCCCTCTCTCGAAAATACGTGGACACCAGCGACGAATATAAATCGCTGGCTTTCACATGCGAGCAAATGGAATTACAAGCTTCGATTATCTCGGTTTGAAAAACCTTTCCGGGAACTCTCTCTTTTTCTCATATTTTAGAAATACTTGTAATAATATAAAGCAGAAGCTTTATCGTGCCAATTAATATATGTATTAACATGTCCTATGATAATTTTTATCTTAATGTAAATAACTTTTTTATTTTAATATAAAATATATCATATTAATATGTGTAACTTATGTACATAATATAACTTACAAAGAGAGACATATAATTTTCGAAATATCTAAATTACTCATTGTTTATCGCCACGTTATCACATGGAGACCATTTTTCTCTTGACTGCGTTAATCACTTATTTTACAACTATTTTCTAAAAGTGCATTTTCACCATAAATAATGTAAAAAAAAATACATGTACAAAATATGCATTAATTTATTCCATGACGTATGAATTTCAGGTAGTACGACGGCAAAATAAATACATAAATATATTAAGAAAAGGAAACTGATAGACACATCTCCTTAAATTGTGTTAAATAGAGATATATCTTTTTATATTTATTTTCTCGATAGAAGATAAATATAAAAATTCAGGATAGAATTCTGTTTACAATTATATTCAGGTTTAAAAATTTAGTTTTACACGCCGTGAGAAATACAAATATCTGAGGAATCAGAATAATATTCGTAATCAGAATAATGTACGTAAGATATACACTACATACATATTTAATAATAAATAGAACATTTTTTGTCTTGAAACCTGACGCGAATTATGAGTCGTGTAACTGGCTCCGAAGAATGTAGTTTTAAAAGTCAGGCTCCTCTCCCCCCCCCCCTTTTTAATTGTCACGGGCGAGCGGCGGGTACATGTCGGCGCGCCCACACTTATTCGTACTACTCGGGCCGTGATTGCTCTCCGGTCTGTGCACAACGGCTATTTCTACTGCCGTCGGCGACGGTGCGACAGGTGCTAAGCTATGCCAGGCGGCTATGCGATGCTGCATCGGCTGCGACGGGGCGAGGATTTCAAAATCCGTCGACGAGAGAGGAGAGCCCGCGACGGAGTATTTTCAATCGTCTATACGGTCGCCGGGCGATATTCCTCCGTCGTCGTCCTGGGAACGGCACCGGACCGATAGGTGAAGGCGAACGGATAGGTGGGTTCGCAGAGCATATTTCTGGCAGTCACGAGATACGATTTTACGGGCGGCGAGCGAGCGGTAACAAGCCCGTCGCGGGAGAGAGAAAACGAGGGAAGAAGATGAAGGAGAGAGAGTGAGAGAGAAGAGCCAAAGACGAAGACAAAGGATACGCATAATATGCATATGATGAAGAGGGACGGGCGAGGTGGAGAAACGGCATTCGAAGAGGACAGACTCACGTTGCTTTTGGTAGACTCGACATTGTCGGGCGGCGGCCAATTTTCGGGAAAATTCCATTAATACCCGTGACTTTGTCCCACTTCGAATTAATGATTCGTCGTCGTTCCTGTACGTTACACATAGCAAGACAAATCGTTTTACGCGAAGTACTCTCGATTCATACCGCGTCTTTCATTCCGCGCAAGTTTCTCGACAAATTCGATATAAATTTTTTCTCATTTCATTATTCGACATTATAGATACTTCAACAGTCACTTGGACCAAATGGATTTTAAAATATATTACTCAAGATCACAATGTCGAACAAATTTATTAAATAAACAGCAATTTTTAACTAAGATTATAAAAAAATGATTAATCGTCAATTTAAATTGACGATAACTCGATATTAACTTTTTAATATTAGCGTAATATTTTTAATAAACCTCTTTCGTTAGAGAAAGAAACACGAGATGAAGGATGACGTCAAAGTTAATGATACATAAAATGTAGAAAAATGATAATGATAAAATAAAATTCACACATCGTATACATGATACAATAATCTCGCGATGATGTGCGCTCAAATGTTCGCATGATAGATGTTCCGGTGTTGAAGAACGACTCTTAGGAGATCGCCGACGGACTTCAATTTCACAGGCAAGCGCCGGCGTGCGAGTACGCGGCTGCCAAATGTGTTTGTGTGTGTGTGTGTATGTGTGTGTCGTGATCCGTACCGTTTTTATAAGTTTGAGAAATATGTCATCCACCCACGCTGACGTTAAATTTTCTGTATTTGTACACGTTGATCGCTCGCCAGGATTGCATTTGCGTATGTGGAATGCATGCAGATTTGATCTCTGATGCAGATGCTCTACACGAGAGATTGATATCTCAATGCGATTTTTTTTCGACGCGTTCTTTAAATTATAAAACAGCGCGTTAAATAAGATTCAGTAAGAGATAATCACTTAATAAACTAGAAATCTTAATTGTCGTAATTAATAACATTAGAAATCAGCCTTAGTTATGTAAAGTCTCTCCTTCACACAAATATTTGTATCTCAAGGATCAGTTAAAAATACATTTAGTGTTATGCAAAAATTATGAAAAGAACAATATTTACACATTGAATTCGTTAGAAAAAAAATTGATTGAAAATATATTGAATTTATTAAAGGATATATTTTTAAAATATGTGACAACAGAATTTTTTCTGTAATGTTAAACCTTACAACAGATGAGGGACTGTGTTGCAAAAAAAAGAGATTAACATTTTTATTAAATCTCCAAAAACACCGATTCCATCATATAGGTAATCTTACTCTTCACTTTTCATCTACCTCGGGATCGGATTGAGCGGGTCGCGATTGCATCGCGAGTATCTATCAATTTTGAGATGTCCCGATCTTCGCAGTTTGATTAACCCAATTCCGTAGCCCTGGGCCCGAGCCCACGCGGGCGACCTTTACCTCGTCTACGCAGCGCGAGGGGAGGAAACGTCTCTCTCTCTCTCTCTCTCTCTCTCTCTCGGTGGAGTCCACCTGCCATCGGATACCAGCGCGACCAAGCTGACTGTCCGGCCGCACGCCCACACAAATTGCTGCCGCATTATTTCGAGTGCTTTGGCCTTGGGTAGCGGCCAGAGAAAACTTTTGCGGGGATATCGGGCGGTACGCGCGCCGTAGGTTCCTCCTCAGGAGGAACGCGATAAAGTGCGGACTACTTCGATCGGAAGATGCATCGCCCGGTAGCGTAATCGGCAGCTCTCTCACTCACGAGCTCTTTATTTTCAACACCTATATAGCAGCAGATACATTGGAAAAATGTATTCAAATACGGTTTTTTAAAAATAAGAATATACGCATAAATAATAAAAATATAACATAGATTTTTATTATTCATCACTGTATAATTCTTTTTTCTAATGCATAAATTGAAAAAAAAGATCTAATTTCTTGAATTTTATGTACATTTTATGACAACAAAAACTGTAATCTTGCGTCTTCAGAATTTATATCGAAGTATGATCTCACTAGCAATTTACCTCAATTTTCTTTCGCAGATAAATTGCGCTGCGAAAAGTATCACGGAAAACACGCGTGAGTCCTAACATACGATTATCCGGGACGGTTGGGCGGTGACGAGAGGAAGAGCATTGAGGAAAAACGAACGTGACGGATAGACGTGTGTGGCAATCGATGGTTCGCGATCGTGGCGGGGATAATTGGATTTTTCAAAAAGGAAGACAGAGAGAGAGATAGAGAGAACGTCTCTTTGGCAAGCGCGAACAAAGAGCACTTCCTGTTCGGACTCGAGAACGAGCTTCAAGCCTAGCTCGTCCGACTTAGAACGCTCTCGAGCTCTCGCTCTTGAGTCATAATAATAACAACAACTCCCGCGAAGATTCCGCACCCGAGCTGAATCTTAAATTTAAACAGAATGGCGCGACAGGCATTGCGACGAAGCGTAAAATGCTTGCCGTTTCTGCATCTCGGGACCCGTACCGCGCCCTATGTTCCGCTCTCTTAATTCTACAGAACGGCGAACAGCCTTGTTGTTCATGTCGCAAATGACTTTTTATACGCGGAGTATTTCAGAGCCGCCAATCTTAATCTCGGTAATAGAATCATTTACAACCTGGAATAGATGTTCTTAGAAGTCCCGGCTGCAAATCGAGAATGGTAAAAAAAACATCGTGCAAAATAACTATGGAGTTACTGGATTTTGTTAATTACTACTAAAAAAAAAAATTATCTTATTTTCATCACATATTTTTTTAAATAACTCAATTTTAGAGACAATATACTACAATTAAAATACATATAAAACTTTGGATTCTTTATCTTAAAGACTTTTTATTCACGGAGTATTTTCGAGCCGCCAATCTTAATTTTGGTGATAGAATCATTTAGCAACTTGGAATAGATGTTTTTAAAAATCTCGGCTGCAAATCAGGGATGACAAAAATCGTGAAAAATAACTAGAATCACTAAATTTCATTACTGTATAAAAAAAGTCTTTTATTACTATTTTTAAAATAGCTGTATCTTATTTTCATCACATATTTTAAATCTTATATATATATTTTTTAATTTAATTCAACAGACGACATACTTCAATTAAAAAACATAAAACTTTAGTGTATATTTTTATCTAAAGATATTTACAGTCTGTTTAAGAGCTTTTCTGAAACTTCTGATGCAGTACCCACGCGAAGATCCCGCCAGAAACGACTATACTGCTCCTGTAGTTAAAAAGAAATTGATTATAATTTATTAACATATATCATATGATTGTATATATAAAAGCCCATCGTATAAAAGATCGATAAATAAATTTAAATATTTAAATTTACACGAATAATTCCGTAATCAAAGTATTTCTTGGAAAGAATTTAATTTTAACTTATGTATTTTTACTTTATTTGAAAAAAATGTATTGCTATTACCGAATACAAAATTAAACATTTTTACAAGCAATTGCGGAAAAAAATGGAAAAAATCATCGACAAACACTGAGAGTCTCTAATTCAGAGGACTTCATTATACAGTACATACATGCAAGTACGAATGCAAACGGAACGGATTAGCAACCTAAATATAACATTTTCATTGCGCTCATTGCGCTCAGAACGCGGTAATGACGAGTGCGGATTGATATATCGATCGTACGAAACGGGATAGCCAGGAAACCGACGAGGAACGCGAGTCTTTCACTCGCGAGCGTTAGGCAATGCAACGATCGACCAGGTCGTTCGTTAATGTCTTTGCAACAATTGGCAACGCGAGTCGCGGCTTCTGCATCTATGGCAATGTCGACGTTAATTAGAGACTTCGCAAACGCGATCCAATTGGAGGCCATTAATTTATTTGACGTAATGCGTTCAGTGGCGTTCCGCCATTAATAGGAATCGGATCGACCTTAACGCGTCGCGATCGCCAATTAAAACCGCAATTACGACATCGCGAGGTGCTCCAAAATCGATGCGTAGGAACAAGGTGTCCCGGAATTATTGTATTTTTTCATGGCCATGAATGGCCAATATTTGATTCTCATACCAGCTCCTTCTGCATTGATACTTAAACAAGTTGCCAAGTTTTATTTCAAATCACAGAATTATACGAGTATTTTATACTTGTAGTACTTCTAAATTATCAAAGTGTGAATTTCGAACTACTTAACTAATTTACAAGCATTTTCGTCTCTTTCAAATATCTTAACTTTATTCATATAAAATTGTTTAGATCTTCAGTGGAAAAAAACTATTTTTAAAATATATACTTAACTTTGACATTTTAATAAAATATATTCAACTTTAAAATATTTTTAATTCCTCCCTTTATGATGCAAAGATCGTATGAGGAATAAATGGAAAAAAGAACATTTTATTGGATAGTTATTTGCAAGTGACGAAAGTGGTGCTTCTGAGGCACTTTGAGACAGTATGATAAAATTAGCGTATGCAAATTGTAAGGCAATGAACACCGATAATCGAATCTTTTTCAGATAAGTGCTAAATCGCTAATTAACGGAAATACAATTGCATGAATTTCTTCAAATAAATTGAATAAGCATCAGCTATGATACGTTTATTTCACACGCGTCTGGTTTCGAAAGACAATTTGTCGGGATTCATGCCAAATTATCATGCTATAACGCTTGTGTCGAACACTTGGATTAATTATCTTGTACGTACCATAGGATAAGTTGAACCCGGCGTGAATGCCATATCGGATTGTAAGGGACTACGTATAGCTCCTTGTTTTGCTTGAAGTGTCGCAATATGTCCCGTGCGCTGCAAAACGATTAAGGAAATCGCTTTTGATCACTGCGTCGCAAACGAGAGCGTGTCCAACAATTCCGATCAGTCTCTTCGCTCGACGAGATAAACGTAATAACGCGTTAAGCCAATTTCGCGTGACAAAAGTTGCACACGTGTGGCACATCAAAGTGTAATAATAGACCGTTAATAATAATGTACACGGTGGTGTAGACAGTGGCGGTCTTTTAATAAGCGCTGTAAATATATCTGCAAAAGTTCGTTGGTAAAAGCGACATAAAGACGGGAACGATGCCAATAACGAAGAAAATCTTACGCGTACCATATGACGGCATCGAGTACATGAATTAATCGTTATTTAACGTTATTTAGTTAATTAACAAATATTTGTATAAAAGTTTCATCGTGAAAAGTCTACGTCTGTCGACACTCCATGAGACAATTCACTTTTTCAACGTAAATTACGGAAAACAGTCTTCTGAATTATCTTCTGTGCGTAGGTAAATATTTCAAGTGTTCTCTTATCAAACTGTTTTGGCGATAGGAAGAAAAAGTTTCGATACTCCCAAGAATGATAAGAGAACATGGAATTTATCGAACATAATTTGCGACGATGGATCAATGAATGCAGCGTATAAAAATATTTTACTTCATCGATAAAAAAAAAAACGAAACTCACGAAGGTGTGCATGTAGCGTTTAAAAGGCCGCGAGGTACTTAACGCGTTCGTGATCTTAATACACGACCCCCCGCAAAACAAGCGGAATAGATTCACTGAATTAGCGGTATATTCGTCGGTTTGTGTTTTCAGACTATCTGGATTAGACAAGCGCGCGCAGTCGATCGATTGATCGTACAACCAGACCGAAAAAATAAACTCTGATCAAACGTGTGTTGCGACTCGCCGTTACGAAGTGCTGTAATAATTCGATGTAACATCGTGCTGATCAAATAAATGATCGATCACCTTAGTCGCAAAATCTAGTTTGAATGAATATTTTAGATATGAGCTGCAAAATATATCTATATATTGAAAATACTGAGCGATCTTTCTGATTACTGTATCTTCAGTCTCTTTAATTATATTTTACGTCAGACTTTTAATAATTTATTAACAAAAATTAATTATCACTCCTTGAGAAATATTAAAATTAAAGAAATTTGAGATACTCATTAAATTAATAAATATTTTTTGTTTTATAACTCAAAGAAATTTTTTAAATTGATCGGAAAACTACCTATATTTTATCCATTATACTCTGAATGCTTAAAATCGATCTCCATAATTTATCTTACTGTGTTGTAGAAAAAGAAAAAAAATGTGCAAGTTTGCACTGTAATACAATTGTTATAAATGGATAAGGAAGGTACTCTAAAAATCACATTTTGTGCGGTGCATTGGTGAGTATATGCGGCTGCCCTTGAAGAGCATCCAAAATAGTTTTGCTACCTTGCGCCGAAGTAACTTCATACTATTATAAATTTTTCCACCTTTGTGCAACTATATATTTAATATTTATATTTATTCGATGTATGCAAGAATCAAAGATAAAGAAAGTTTCGGCCTCTATCGGAAGATTTAATTTTTTCGTACCGCAATATATTTTCATGTATACCTCGAAATCGGACGCAGTTGGCAGCATTCGCTTTTTCAACATATGTGTAACGTTGCGTCCCATATCTCATACACTTAAAATTCGTGTAATGTTTCTCGTTATTTATATAAGTAATTTAGAACATGGGACAAATTTTAAGAAAAAAGATTCGATAGAAAATACAGATCACTAACCTTCCGTGATTTGCTACTGCAACTAACACGCGCTTCGGTGTGTCCTGCTTCACGTCAACGGCGCCAAACCTCGACATTTTTTCAGCTATCTAGGCAAATATTTTACAACAATACAGATTACATTGATTACAAGTTATTCGCTTTATACATAGATCACATACTGCGATATATGAAATACATATTTAAGATTACAAGATCTTGACTGTATGAGCAATTAAAATTATATGCAACAATTGAATATAATACCTGTAGGACAGTTATCGGCTTCGATTCTAACGTTTTCACATAAAGCCACTTTGGTCGAGTTGATTTAGGTTCAGCCCCGTCAAGTTTCTGGAAAATTTATTTCTTTATGAGAAAAAAAATGCAAAGACGACTATTCTTTATGCAAAACAATAATATAGTTTCACACTTTTCTTACCAAATATGATGTATTGCCGCGTATAATGTTTACACAGTTTGTAAAGCCTTTCACGCAATTCATCAATTCTGTATGTGTAAATTGTTTTATATGAAATATTCTGAAATCATAAGACAGTAGGTACACAATATGCTTACTATGTTTACTGGGATTAGAAATAAAATAATTACGGATTTTCAATTGTACAACAATTGTATAACTTACTCTCCACAACGCTTTGTGGCAAATATATGAGTCAGTCTAATAAATATGTAACCAGCAAAATAAGAATCCCATCCTGCGGTATGATATTTCTTCAATGAGGTAGTATCTAAAAGATTGAGAATATCATTTATAAATATAATAGTAATATTATACAGAATCAAGAAATAACTACCATTTGAATCTGTCGTGAGTTCAATGATAGGCGATCCTAGCGCTATATTTTTTCCTTGCGATTCTGTAAAATAATTGACTAAACCACTTAGAGTGTTAAGTTTCCATCTTTCTGAAAAGAAAAAAATTATACTTAATATGTTTCGCTATATAATCACACAAACTAATAAATACTAAATAATTACCTTCTGTTCGAAGAATTTCTCTCAGTTCGAAGCTTAAAAATTTCGTGTCATAAATTGTTGGAAACAGTTGATGAATATTTTTTTTGAAATCAATATATTTTCCTGCAAAAAAAAAACACATTAACCATGATTAATTGTAATGTAATTTTCATTAGCAGTTAAGAAACATTTGCTATTATTACACAATTATACATACGTGGTAATGGTTTGTAAAATTGTTGATGCATAAACATAAAATCCAAAAAAGGATTATGCGCAATTATTGGTTTTTTCAACGTAACCAAGAGCTTGAATACTTTTGAAAAGCCTGTGTACGATTCGAGTAATACATTTTCTAGTATAGAGCCTTCTTCCTGTTCCAAAATTTTTCTCGATTCTGGCGGCACTTTAATCACAGTTATCTAAAAAAAGTTACAAAGTTTAAAATTTTGAAATATTTCAGCGTTTTATCTCCTAAGTAGCAGCATGACTATACCATATCGTTCCCTGAGTAAGTCCAAACGTTTGGGAAATGTCTCCTCAATTCTTTATGCATATAATATTGCACAGTTGGAGTGCGGGACTGAATTTTAAACGAGTCCGTTTCATCACCAGCTGTCTTCAGCCATTTAAATATTTGACCGAGTGTATTTTTAAAATCCTCTTCCTCTTGGTAAGTGATACATTGCTCCACGTTAGACAGCAACGTGTTCTCCTGTAACTGTTGCTGCAAGACTGCCTCGTCGATCTCGTCAAGATACGAAATACCTTGGTAGGCAAACTGAAAATTGTTAACATACATAAATTCTTTTCATTCCTACAAAATAAAACATCAGGATATAGTTTCAGATCTTAATATAAATTACTCGCTAGTAAGAAATGACCTAATATCTGTAACAGATAAATACATCGAGTGCATACGTACTTTGTTGAAATCAAATTCATGAGTAGTCAGAAACTCTAGCGATGCTATCTGCCAAAGAAATTGTCTGTTCTTCGACGGTATAGATCTAGGCAGCAGAAAGAAATTGAAGGCCTCCGCAGTGTATTTATTCTCATCGTGAACTCGATGAAACGCCGAAATACCAAATTGAATTATTATGTGCGGCTGAATATGGCTTCTGTTGTTCTTATAGCGCTCGTGTATAGAATCGAACAGGCTGCAACGGCAAAACATCAAGTAATGTCACCAATTGAAAGTCTCGTTCGAGTTATACACTTCGCCGGGAATACAAACTAACCTATTTTTTACATCATCGCTTTCTATACCTGTGAATTCCCCATCAATCGCTATGAAGTTAGCATTTTTCAACGTGTGCTCCAGATGCGGATACACCTTGTTGAAATTCTGATTCGTGACTTCAATCATATTTTCTTTGCAGGTGCGAAATAACTAAGAATAAATCGAATAAATTCACGTGAGATATTTGAATGTACAAACTCCAGCTGAGGTCGCTGAGGAAGTGGAAAGTTTCTCTGGCCTCTATGTGGTCACGTGGATGTAGTTACCCGTTGGAGATATTCATGAACGGCTACGTAGTTCAATAAGCACGCTGAGGCGCTGCACGCTCTCTCACGAGTCACGAGTATATGACTTTGCAATGATTTCTCTTGATAACATTAGACGAGATATTTAGATAAAATTCTAACATCTATACTTATATACTTTGTTCTTAAATTCTTAAAAAAATTTATCTACATTTTTATTTATTTTATATGATTTTTATATTAGATATTATATATTTTTATTTATTTTATTCATTTTCGTATCTCTTTTATTATTATAGAAAAGATTTTCCTAATATTAAAAAAATGTCATATTATCAAGAAATATAATTTTCTGCTGAATTTTATATTTAAACTAGATAACATATTTTCATTTATTTCAAAGTTAATATATGTATTCCTTAAGAACAAAATTTATAATTATAAATTATACTGTAAATATAATCAAAATATACTTACTGTAGAAACTATAAATACAAATATGCAGAGTATCACAGTAACTATATTTCCATCTAAATATCTTCGATCTATAAGGTTCACTGGAAAATTTATGTAACTAAACTTTTGCACAGTACGGAGCTGGGATAATAATTTTATTTTGTTCAAGCGGAGACTTCGAAGATTTATCAAGGTCAATTTTATTTTTTTAAATAGAATATATGATTTTTTTTACATAATATGATTCTTCTAATTATTCTGCATACTCTCTAAATTTTCTGGAGCGAAAATACTGCCTCTCGGCCATTCGAGTTTTTTTTATGCCAATCGCATTTCAGTAGTCTGTGCATTAAAAGATACAATTGAAATAAATCATAAAATCAGTCTACGAGATATTTCATATTTTATGTCGAAATATGACATATATGATAAAGTATATAAAATATCTCGTAAAATATTGATTTTTTGATAACTTTATTTTCATTTTTATATACAGAATAATTAGAGGTATCATATTATGTAAAAAAGTCACATAATTCCACTTAAAAAAAAATAAAAACAAAGTTGCCCTTAAAATTTTCAAAGTGCCTTTATCTGGACGTGCACAAAAATTATTATTACCATGTAATAGCTCTCTTCATATCGCGCAAATTTGGTTACATAAATTTTCCTCTGAAAATAACATTAAACTATTACACTCATTTATTCTTGATTTATCAATCTAATAGTTCAACGTTATCTACAGGGTGTCCCCGTATAGTAAGGGTTATTTTAAACCAAAATAACCCTTATAAATTCGTAAAATAATTTCGTTATATTACACATCGTTGTATTCGTTAAAAAAACGCTACAACTTTTATCATATTAAAATTGTCACGTGCAAAAATTAATCATGTTTTTCCGTTCTCTAACATAGATAATATTTCTAAGTGATCACTGTGCTTACAATAAATTTTAGTCAGAACCGTTTAATTTGACATTATATTTATTAGGTCTATCTCTATTAGTTTACGAGATAAAAAAACGGTGACCACTTATACCGGGACACCCTGTATATCAAATATTTTAAATATTTGTGTACCTTAGATTCGAAGATATTTAGATGGAATTTAGATGAAAATAGTTACTGTGACACCTATTGTATTTAGTTTCTATTATGGTATATTTCTATAATATTTACAGTAGCTATAATTAATTAAATAAATAAATTGATCTCTAAACATATCAATCTTTTTTTATTAATTCTTACAACCAATTAATATTGACGTTTTACTACTCAGCTTTTGTTTTTCTAGCACATTATTCGTAGGAACTAAATGAAAGAATTATAAATTAAAATATCTATTATGAATATTCAGAAAACTGCATAATATGAAGCAGAGCCTCATTAAATTATCATTAAAATGAATTAAAATTAGAAAATGATCTTAGGAAATGAATAAAAATTAACGAACAATGGAATAAAATAGACGAGAATTTCTAAGAACGTGCAAAATGTGAAAACAATAACATTCAGATATAAATTTATGCAATAAAAAATGTAATAAAATAACAAAACTCTAGAAAGAAGAGATGTTACAAAGTACAATCATTCCGACTTTTACGTCTCGCGAAGAATATATATAATTTACAGATAGTTAACGCTATCAGAGTAATTAACAAATTAATGTATAAATTAGCAGTATTCCGCGCTTTTGTTAATAATATATATTGTTAAGGAAAGTTCTAAGAGGGATTCCAGCGCGAAAAGGTCATGAGGTTCACGATTTCCCCGCAGATTGGCAAGTATCGTGATCCTTCGGCGAGATACCTGTGTATAAGTCTCAGTCGTACCGAGAGACCGTAAACGGCACGGCATACACGCTCATGCTTCCGCACTTCAAACATCTTTCTTTTTAATCGGGAATCGACTCTCTCTCTGGCAATGAACTTGCTCAAGCAGGCGCTAGTGTATCCGCGGCTACGACGTCGGACAGTCAGTACCTTCTCTCGGCGGCTAGCATTTCCTCGCGTCTCACACGGCTCTCTGGCTATCTCGGCTAACAAGTCCCGATCCGTCAGGCGCACCATGCTCTTCAGATTCGGGATCTTTGTTGGCCTGAGCTCCGTGGTCACGACCATCATCTACTTCACGCCCATACCAGGTGAGTAAAAAATTCATAGTAGAAAAAATTAAATAAATTTAAAGCAAAAAAGTCAATATAAATATGAGATAAAAGCATATTTTATTCGTAAGAGCAATCTTCTATCTTTACCGTGAAGCATTCAGCTTCATATTTAAAAATCTCGGATCAATCCAAAAATTTATTTTATGTGACTATGTTTGACATAACTTTCGACAACACTTCCAGTAGAAACAGATAAAAAAAAAGTAAAAATATTGCCAGTAAGAAGCAATTATTGGTAATGAAAAATTACATATCTATTTTATTTGTTCTTATCTTGCTTTAAAATTATATAATATGAACTATTTTTAAATGAATATTGTTTTTTATTCAAATCTTCTTGCTCTATTTTTTTGTTACAATTTATTTAGTACTTTGTATTTAGAACATAAATTTACTTATACTTAATTTAATTATATTAAATATACATTTAATACAAGTATAAATTTAACTTTAAATATAATAAAATATTTTATCTTATATTTTTGCTTTAATAAATAAAAGAAGTGCTTTTACTTTAATTTATTTATGCGACACGTTATTATTTATATAACACGCTTAAATATTATTTATGATTATTTTGTAATTAAATAAACAAAAGAATTCAGAAAAAAATTGGTACTGACTTTTTTGGCATTATATACTTATCTTAATATTAGTTCTAAGTCTCCATTATTATCAGTGTAATATTATAATTATTTCAAGATTAATTTTATCCAAAATAAATTTAAAAAAGATTCAATGCAGAAGTATCGATTTTTATCAATATTTTATAAGTATTACTTAAAAAAATTGCTTTTTTATATCAAAATAATAAGTAGATAAAAAACTAGAATATCAACTACCTATAATAGATAAAACATTCTAATGTGTTCCATTTAAAATAATTTAAATTAAAAATCAGCATTGTATAAATTTATATGTGTCGATATTAATTATATTATCAAAGCATATTATATTATATTATCAAGCATTATTTCCCACATGATTCAATTCACAGTAAGTATAGAATATTTTAATTAAAATTACAGCACGATCCTTCTGTTCGAAGTTTCGAAACGAGACTAAAAAATATGTATCTAAATATTATGTTTTACTGAAAAAACTATTTGCGAAAGATTTCTATACGGAAAGAAATATAGAAATTCTTCTTTTCCAAAACATATATCGATGTAACATGTCTTCAAGGATGTTTGAGATAAATGTACATTTTAGTGATTAGTAATGATCGAATTTTCATGTGAGAAGTGAATAGCCTTAATTCAAAATTTACCGTTATGTACATGCATCTTTGTTACCAATCCCACTGTCAAGGATGCTGATCGCTCGCGGCTAAATTTCACAGATATAACACGCGAGATAGCGTATAGTGTACGTCAACTTGTAATATATAGTACTGTGCTGACTGTTACGCTTCCAGACATAATGTCATGAATCTGATCTCGAAAGCGAAAACAGGATCTTTTTGAAATATCAAGTAATGAAAAAGATTTTATTATTATTATAAAATAAAAACATGATAAAATTAATATAATTATTTAATAACATTTATGTCAAGTATGTAATGATTTCCTTTTTAAAAATTGACAGTAATTAAAGAATTTTGTTTTTATTTTATGCAGAATTTGTAATACTTCTATTTTGTACAGAAAAAAATATTTTGGTGTTTAAAAAAAAAAAATGATTAAATAAAATTTCACACGTAATATTATTTATTTACACAGAAAAATCGTATATTTTATGCATAGTATTATATTATTAGTTTTATTTTTACAAGTTTTACCTTGTAAAAGTTGTTTGCCTTCACTCACATACGAACGTATCTTTTTAGTCTGTCAATGAAATGCACCGAAAATCAAACACTCATTTTGCTTGCACATTTATGCGCATATTTAATTAACTCTAAAAATAACTTGAATGCCTTAAACGTTAACAAATAATTATATCAAGGTAAAATAATCTACGGAAAGAACAATTTTACAAGATACAGATCTGAAAATAATTTTTGTTGGACAATCAAAATAATTTTGACGGAAAGTCAAACTGATTGCTAGAATATCAAAATAATTTTCAGATCTGTATCCAGCAAAATTGTTCTTTCCGTGTTTAATTTCTTTATTTTCTTTTATAATAATTATATTGCACAAACTGCTAGAAGTACAGTTTTATTAAACTTAAGTACGTTTTTAAATTCTCTTGACGATCATCTTTGTTCAGCATATTTAGATACGATTTATTCTTTATGAGAAAAATTGATTTATATAACTTGTTCTTGATAATCCAGTATAATACTAGATAATATATCCGTATCATCCAGTATCATAATACTAGATAATACATCCGTTCATAATCTTATTAGTCTCTCTAGAAACGTGAACAGTATAATGATGAATTTTTTACTCGGTCAATAATAAAGGAAAACAAAAACGCTCTTTCACGCGCCACGTCAATTGTAAAATATTGCTAAAATATACCGAAATAAAAATCGAAAGTGTGAAAGTACATATGTCTTGTTGCAAAGATACACGCGCACACAATTTCGTTTTTCAATAATGTCACTTCCGTCTTAGAGATGCTCGAATTTCTTATTAATCACAGTTTAAATGTGGTCAGAGTATCAATACTTTTTTCGTGACTGTCTAAATGTCTTTCACTTTCTCCTCTTTTATATTTCAAAGAAGTCTGTCGTCCCATAAATTTATCCTTTGTGATTGCTCAGGCTTTTTGACAACAAATTTCACCGATGTTTTGCTTTCCAGCAATTTTAATTATAATTTATAAATTGGTACATTTATAAGAGTTAGAAAAACTGCTCGTCAACATTTTATTCGCTTGCAACCAATAATAGATACTCAGGCAACATTATGCCACAAAACAAGATCTTGTCGAGATCATTTTTCGTTTTTGCGTATAAAATATATTAATTAAAACTTTAAATATATTATTTAAAACTTTCCGGATAAACTTCTATTATCGATCAATGCCGGTCTCTAAATTCAGAAAGTTTTAATACTCTTCTCATTAGTAATAACTACATAAATTAAATAAAACATTCAATTCTGCAAATGAATGCGAAAACTAAATTGATAATAACATAAAAAAAACTTTTATACATTAAGTTAATTATATTATTACCAATTTTTATTGCAGATAATAAAAAAAAATCTAAAATATTTTTTATCAATTTCTCGAAAATTCGACCATTATGATGAAAAATCAAAAATTTATAAAACTGTTGTAGCCTCGGAATATTCTCTCAATTTTTAATAACGATTATTTAAAGACTATTTGTATATGTATAATAATTTTAAACAGTTACTTTTATAATTTTTCATGGTATTTAGTCATTGTAATGTTTTCCGATTCATTTCTAGTTTCTCGATACTCTTACGCAATAATTTGTACACACGTTTGCTAACCAAAAACACAAATTGCATAAGAAATAATTAATATGCGTACGTAAAAAAATGTATTGGTTTGGTTATAAAATACGACAAAATACGACTACGGCAAAATACGACAATATACACTTGTATATATCGTATTTGCATTATAAATAAAGTGTATATAATTCTGTATTTTTGTCAATGATTGTAATCGTGATTATAATCGCACACTTCATATATAATCAGTGTAACGTATGCACATACACAATTGTGCATTTGCGGATGTTTGACGATCGTCGCGATCAGCCTTGCGTGAATGTAACTCACACGCGAATCCATACGTACTTCCTAGAAATTGTGATTTTCACGAAATATACGTACGTGTAATACTTGTTTAAATTTAATAAATTGTGAAAAGAGTATTGGAGAGATGCGATTCGTCGAATTAAACGAGTGAAAGCGTCAATTATCACGCGGTACACGTGGAGTTTTGTATACTGTGTTGAGGCGAAGCCGCCTCAATTATCGTGTTATACACATTCCGAGAGTTTTATTCCGCAAACTTCTTATAAATAATATAAAAGTATAGAAAAATCAAATAAATATAAAAGATTGTTAGACCTCCCAACGATTAAAATAACATTAATTAACAAAGGAAAGGCTGTAGAGATAGGCGCGGTCCGGAGTGCACAATCTCTTACCGCGCCTATCTCCCATAGTCTTCTTTTTATTAATTAAAAGTATAGAAAGTATACTCATCACCTGATATACCATTAATATTGGGGTGCATATGATACAAGAATATTAATTTGACGAAGTAAAATATGAAAGTATTATACGTTTGCAGAAAGTGCGACACTACGTTTTTGTATATTATTATACGCAAGGAATTATTAACCTATTTTCTAATACTCAGACAAATAGAATCTCGATTACCCAATGACTCAAATAGAGATCGATAACTACTGAATGCAGGATGTGAAATGTATCGAGCAAAAACATTTCTGTGCCCGAGAGATTTTCACTCGAGTGCTACTTATCGATTAAAAAAAAAAAAGAGAATTTGCCAAAAGGAAGGAAAACAATATAATTTGCATTAGCGACATGAAAAGATACGTCTCGAGATAAGTCTTTCACTTTCCCGAGTGATAAGGTTTTCAGTTTCATTGATGACTTCGGTAAATTCACGACTAAGCAATTTCACTTCGAGCAATATTCGAGAACTGGCGTTACAGTTAAGTTAAACCGGATAATTGCATTACCAAGCAGCTCTCCTCGACGCATCTTCGCAGGCGGACGAAGATGGAAATGTAATGAAATTAAAGAAGAGATGCCAAATAACAGAAAGAGATAATGTCACATTACTATTCGTGACGGTTGAGAACGCTGTTGTCACTTACAAAGTTGGAAAGTAATATTTGCTCTTAGCACGACGCGGGCAACGACAACCGCCTTTCTTTTTTAATATGGAATTAGATAACGTAATGTTATTACGAATACTATGTAATGCAATTTAATATTATTCCACTTGCGTTAGATAACAACACGTAGGAGAAATGCAGAAATGTAACATTTTACGACACATGTTTGCTTAATTTGTTCGTAATTGTATGATGTACTATAATCATCGTGGGGCAAAAAATTTTGTTCATGTAACATCCTATTCACATCTGCACACTTTGCAGGTGGGAGATTACATCCGGGGAAAAATATTCTAAGAGACATATCGATTTCGAAATCTAATAATCGTGCCTTGAGTTCACGCTGCTCTTTCCTTCGTCCACTTGACATCTTTGCACAGAGAAAATGCCTCGGACTGTTGTTATTACGACAGGAAATACAACCGTTTTCTCTACCGTTTGCTTTTATATGTTATCGGTAATACGTTTCCGCAGAGAGAAATGCAAAGTCGTGTTTGTTTTCATCTTCCTAAACTGAAATCATCTCAATTAGGTCTAGGCGAATCACGCCATTGACCATTTAATTCTTTTGCTTACTACAGCTATAATAATTTTTTAACTTTAAAAATATTTGTTGATTGTTACTAGTTACAAAGAACGAAGCAATCTTGTTTGAATTTTAAGATTCGATAAAAAAAATAGATTTAGAAAAAGTATGCATTGTATTATAGGTAATTCAAATTTTATTATAATTTTCATGATTTCTCTCTCTCTCTCTTTCTCTCTCATCTTTTTTCTGTTACAAAAGAAAAAATTTAAATATTTATTGTGTATCTTGAAATAGTTTATAGAGAGAAAAACTGTATAAATATATTTCATATATATACGTTTTGTATATATGTACTAATAAATTTTGGTAGAATTTTCGATACATCGTAACAATTTTCGCGAGATATATTTCGACGCGCGTATAATGAATTCATCGATTTCATATCTTCAGCTTCGCGACCTGTGTACTTATCATACAGGTATTTATCATATACATGTTAAATACCTTATTATCTTTCTCTCTTAGAAAGTTTCATTCGAGTAAGCAACGATGTCGCAATCTCAGTGAATGACCGAAGAAACGCGAGCTTGAGCGTATCCTGCTAAAGCGAAACGTCACTTGTTTTCCACATAGTAGCTATTGGCGTGATGACTGTTTCTGTCCATCCACATGCGAGTAAGAGTGGAATCGATTGGGCATCAGCGAAAGCGAAATCTATGCGCCGCACGCCGGCTGGACCAACTTGAAGGAGAAAGGTCGGAAGATGAAAGTGTTCGCGCGGCCGAGGGAGATGGAACCCGCGGGGTCTAGTCGCCGGGGATGGTAGGGGCCGTCCGAATCAGGGGGACCCCGTTGGCGAACTTTCACTCGTCGTCGTTACACAGCCTCTGACACATATCTCGAGCATACAGGTCGCCTCACGTTTTGACGCACGTATAGAAAAACGCGAGACGTTGGCGCAATCGCGCGGGGATGCGTATAAAAACCGGTCGGCCGGTACGATTGTGAATCGTGATCCTTGGTCCTCGAGGACGTAGGTTGCCACCGGACGAGAGAGGGAAAATGATGCGTCGCGATTTGCACGAGCGCGGCGAACGAATTTGGGCCCCTTCTCGTCAGTTGACTACCGGGTGCGCGACGGGTACCGGCGACGTCCGTCGTTACACGGCGGGTTCCACATGTGCCGACAAACCGACAGTGGTGCAGTGATTTATGAGAATCCAGCCGTCGTTTGATCTCGATCATAGCTGTCCCCTTAGGCATCTTTAGGACATCATTTCGCTTCTCATTAGCGGCCCAATTCGTTTTCCGACTTCGTTGATAAACATCAGATTGAAAATGTCATTTCGCTATTTTCCATTCAAACTTATCATCGGGTTGAGCTATCAATTGAGAATCGATTTTATATTATAACAAAACAGCCGATGTTAATTAATTATTAATTATTTCAACGGATTGGAAGAAATTATAAAAATAATTATGTATCGTGATAAGAACAGCCAATATGGAGACAAGCACCAAGTTACTAGCGTTTTCAGAGATTATTTGCAAAAATGGCCAATAATTTTTGCTAAACTTCATAGAAGTTACTAAAAAATATTCGTAGAAAAACTAAAGATATGTTATGTTAAAAGTTAAAAATATATTGAAGCTAAAAAGATGACATGCGCTATTTTTATAGTGAAATAATATACGGCAGATTGAATGGGGAAGCATCAATTTAATAGTAAAATATAAATGAAAGATCAAGTCACGTGGTCATTTATATTTCAATAATTTCAGATTAATTTCAATCAACTGCCATCAAACATACTCAATCACACCTAGCGATTCTTTGCAACAATATAATTTATATTCAAGCGGAAAAAGTCTTGATACCATTGATTTCTTTGTAACCGCTTTTACGTAACAAAACGTTCTTCCATTGTTGATGACCCGATTGCCCGATGCAATTAAATATAGCCGGACATAATGAAGGCAACGTCGTAATTCGCAGGCAGTCTCGTATTTCCATACAGCGAACGCTCGCGCAGTTATCGTATAAATACTTTTATTGTGGGCTTTTTTTCTGCGCTGTTTTAAATGTTACTCTTTTTGCGAGTCCGGTTTTGCTTTGGACGAGGTTTTACGCGGCTAAGCGAGGTGTAATCCACCGCATTTAGGCATACTATCGATCATAAGGCAATAAGGAAGCGAGGAGGAACGTTGAAACGGCGAAAGGGAGCGGGAGAGAAACGTCTGTTCTGGCAACGAATTTCGGTGTATACCTATCAGTCTTCGACGGGGAGTCCGCGACAGTGTCCGCGCGGTTTCGCTATGTTCGGTTCCACACGTGAATGTCCGCAGTGGTGCAGTGCGCACACATAAAGATCTATATTTCTTCCTCATATACGTCTTCTCCTTCTACATCTTTTTCCGCGCGTGATCATTAACGGGATAATTACCTTTAGTCGTATTTGTCTTGCGTTTATTTCTTTATTTTCGTCGCGTTCAGGAATACACGTTCTGCCTCTCGATTGATAATTTGCGTGTAGCGTAGTTATTAACCGGCGGGATATGCATGAATCGATCACCGATTGACGTAAACGTGATTTTGCGTTTCATAACAGAGGATATTACATATAGTAGAAGGCTAATGTAAAAACGGAATAAAACGAAATGTAGCAATGTAATACTCGTACATTGATAGCTGCAAGTGAAATTGTATGTACAGGATAGAATTTCTAATATAGATCTGAAGTATCGACGTTAAGATTTCCTAGATCTTAATCGATAGATTACATCAAACTTTGGAAAGAAATTACTAAAAAATATTCGTAGAAAAACTAAAGATATGTTAAAAGTTAAAAATATATTGAAGCTAAAAAGATGACATGCACCTATTTTTATGGTGAAATAATATACGGCAGATTGAATGGAAGCATCAATTTAATAGTAAAATATAAATGAAAGATACCTACGCAAGTCGTGGTTAGAATTTATTCAACGGAATTAATACATTCAACAAATTATTATACAAAATTTTGATAATATATCATCCTCTCTCTAATTGAGAAATATGCACTGCAGTTTGCTTTCGTATACCAAACAGATTTCTGTGGTGAAATTCGTGTAGTGTGAATAACGCTTTCGGTCAGAACACGCAGATATCCAGATTCCGTACGCGATACGTATCATATGCATGACCGGATTACGAAATGTTATATGAATATTATACAATAAATTTTAGATTAATTTCCACGTAATAAGGTTTTACATGATTGCTCTAAACAAGAGCAATCATTAAGGCAATCGCATAAACGTTCTTGACCTTGCTTAAACTATTCCTTCATCAATAACCTATAGGATTCGTTTTACTTAGGAATATAACGATACTCGTGTTGCAGAAAATAATTATTACTCATTACGCTTTATAATCATATATAAATTCAAAATTACAAAGTCTTTCAACGATCTATCAGTTTGCAATTATAATCAAACAAAAAGCTTTGTAGTTATCAGAGGTACTCTAACAGTTAATGCGTGATGAATAGCATTCGATAAATCCAATATGTGATTAGTCATCGTAATTAATCATCGTTAATTCTATTACTCTTCAAATCTGATCTCCTGCACAATTCGTTCGTAGTTGGCTCACGAAAGTTGATTGATGAACGGCTTGTTTTAAAGTCATGAGCTGGAAAGAGTCCGCCTAACGAGAACGAGGCAAGCAACGACTTAACTTTCGGTCTCATCTGTACAAATGGCTACCCTTTTCTTTTCAGAGCCGGTTTTCTCCACTGACGCGTCCATTTTATCCTTGACACCGACATTCGATTCAGCCTTCAGCAGAAAATCGTCAAGCGATAAAAAAAATTGGTTCTCGCTTACTGATGGAAATTTATGATATCTCGGCAATTGGTTAATATTAAATACACACGTCTCACGCTGCTTTAATAGCGTATGTTCACGGTTTTCGCGATTTGATCGACACATGTGCGTTTTATGAAAATTAATCGTTCGCGTGAATCTCATCCAGAGTCCGTCGAATCCCCCAACGAACACGAGGAATAAATGTCGTCACCTCTTGTTATCGTCGCATAACAACGTTGGTTGGCGATGTATTCCCCTAAAGCCGTTCACCATCATGTGGCGACACCGACTACGTATATTTTACGATGTCTCGTGGTTGTCACTATGATCGCCGCTGCGGCCACATTTTTACACTTTAACAATTACAGGCCCAGTAAGTTGAAGCAACAATTAGTTTTTGTTAAAAATTAAAGCGCGCCATTGCAGGCTTGTGCTTCGTATAAGTTTTATTATCTTAAAAATTAAAAATTTTCCCTATTCAAATAGTACGTTCTAAATTATATCTTTATAACTACATAGGAGAAGTATTCTTGAACAGGAAGAATTTTAATTTTTAATTAAGCAACTGAAATATAATAGCAATTGAAAAACAACTTGAGGTTTTCTAATGATAGAGATCAGCTCCGTTAAGACGATAAGTAATACCTAGTGATTTGTGATAAACGTGTAAAGTGCATTTTTATTCGCGCAACAACATCCGATGTGTGCATCGTGTACGCGCATCATTAACTTCTCTTTGCTGTATGGCACTTTCTATGTGGTTTGGACTTTCCTCTCTACCGACTGTCGGCTTGCATTTTTACCCCCGGTTGTCGGGGGCAAGGAAAATTGCTTTCTTCGCTTCGAGTAAAATAAAAAAATATTCTTTTAACTTTCTTTTCTTGACTCTCTTTCTATCCTTTTATTTTCAGAACAAACATTCCTCTCCTGTGACAGACCGTGTCATCACTTGGATTGGCCTATGATCTGCCGGGTGAAACTCACATTAGAAGTCTTCCAATCGCTCAGCAAGTAAGTCAGAAAATCATTTGCCTGATGTGCCACATATCCGTCTTAAGGATTTAATAAGCCACGTACTCGTGATATAAGATACTGGAAAAACTTCGTTACGAATATACGCCAAAAAACATCAAGCCGCAAAGACCGGTCTCATTTTTACTACCGTGCAGCCAATTATGAGCATTGATTACGATTGCGACGGCGTTTCGATAATCTAATAAATAATCGGCAAGCGTCGAATTATAACATTTTTATGTCTCTTCGTACTTTTACTTTCGTTAAATTTCTTCCGCAACTTTTCAAAAGTTTTCCTTGGAAGAAATTATTTAACTCTTAATTACTTATTTCATAATTTGCGTAAGAAGTAGTCAGTTGTGTATAATTTAATATATACTAGGAAAAATAGAGAAAGCAGCAAACGAATCGAGACAGAAGATTGAAACTTTGGACAAGGTATTATATAAAAGTCGAGTGTTGCAAGGTATTGCACAATGTTAATCTATTAATTTTATTTTTATTTTGTAAAATGCACTATAATTACGTCTCTATTACATCAAGGCTAACAACGGTAAAGACACAGTGACTTATTTAGCTCGAGTTTCTCATGGAAAATCTACTTATTCGATTACAAAAATGAACTCGAAAGAGAAAGTAGATATCTCTGAATAACTAATAAAACACACTCTTTTTAGATCGTAATCACTTCGCGCAAGGGAATTATGTTGCATTTCTCTTCACGTGCGCCTCGACGATATTATTACGATTTCTTTTTTGCGATTACAACATTGTAGCAATTTTCCCACTGTTACGTGTAACCAATGCAGCGATTACGGCATCATAACGCTGGTTCGGCTCGTCGGTGTAATAACCGTTATGCAATTCTTAACCGATGTAATGCGGAAGACTTCTCGTCGATCAATCGCGCGATGTCCCGTTGAAACACCGACATGCAAAACGAATATCGCATTAGGCGTAGAACTGTGTATTCTTATCGAGAAGGCGTGCAGTATCTTACAGTTATTTGATAAGCGTGAATGAAAGTTAAATGTGTGCAAGTATTTGCTACTAGTAGTATACTTCGCTTTCTCTCATTTTTCACAAATCATATGAATAGTCCAGACAATCGTCTTATTTAATAAACGTCGAATATTGTTTTCCTTTAATAACAATTATGACTTATCTTCGTGCATTTTTAAATATTTTTAGAAGGTTAATTAAGAATTAAATATGTACAAGGCAAGTGGAGAAGCTTTTCGTGGGAATTTTACTTCGCAGATCCGTTCTTGTGCGTTTATTAAGAGATAAACATGATTTGATCTATTTCGTGTGTAGGCAGAGACTTCATGACATTTGTTACAGATCATGCGGTGACTGTCCATTGAATCAGACAGCTTGCTTGGCCAATCATTGCGTTTCCACGGATGGACAAAGACGGGGTATACTTACGGCCAATCGTCAAATGCCAGGACCCAGTATTCAGGTATGACCTCGATGTTCAACCGCCGATCAATAGTCCGGGTGCATCACACTTACCGCCGGGAATTCAATGAAGTTCATTGCAAGAGAGCATAATTTGCTTACAATATCGCCCGCCACCTTTCCACACTTTCCCACTCTCATTTAATTAAGGCACATTCCGTAACGACTTATTCGCAAATAATTAATATAGATAATTCAAAGTAGATAAAATACAAAGTTATTATATTTTAAAGCTTCAGTAGACATTGACAATTTTCCGTGTTATTTTGCTATTTTTTTATGGCCTGAAACGAAAAATTTAGATTAGAGGATTTAGTCTGAGAAAAATAAAAATTATCAGTTTGAACATTATCAAATTAAATTCGTTATTAATTAAATATATAATTAGTTATTAATTAATATCATGAATAATTGAACTTTAGATTTTACTTTAAAAATCGAGATATTAAAATCGGATATATTTGATCGGTATTATTAAATTGATCAATAATATACGATTCATTCTATGACGAATATTACTATCGTTATAATTTTAGAGAAATATTGAATTAATTGTATATAATTAAATTCATGTAGAATCACAGGTGTATCTGTTTCACATGGCTTTACCAACATAAATAGGTCTTCATTTGCAATCAGTAACCCGCAATTGCGCGAAAGTTGATGTTCTATCTCGTGTTAAAATGAAATGCTGCGTGATAATTGAGACACGTATTCAATACATACTGATAATTGATTACGCCGCGTGAATATACATATAGGAATAATCTTGCGCACGTGCCTCGTTTAATGATGGTGAGTGAACACTTTGAAGTGAAGTGAATTTTGCTGGGTATCTGATTGAGGCTTCCCCGATGACAAACATTTCGAAGCTTTAGAAATGTTGATTGAAGCTAAAAGTGTTTTCTCACTTCGCGGAATCAAATGATAATTATCTATTTTTAACCTTTATTAAAAGCTGCAAAAAATATCTTTTCTGTCATTTAATGGTATTCTTAAAATGATATTCTTTTTAATACACTTTTAAAGTCTTCATTTTTATTTCTGACAAAGGAAGAAGATAAAAGTGATACTTGAAATTAAAAGCATTTAAGAAAAGAAATAAGTGTTATGTTTGTTACAACATTTTTAACAAATTTACTTTTAAGTCTCTTAATAGTCAAAAATATATAAAATTAACGCATATTATACACATAAGTATTAGCTTGTTATTATAAAAACAAATTCAAAAAACTAAAAAAAGGCTGAGACCGATATAAAATTGAAATTAGAAACTTTTTAGTATAAATATAGTTGAATCTCCAAGTAGTTGTTTTCTATGTTATATTTAAAATTTTTGTACTTTTGTAACAATATTTTTTAAAGTGAATGAAAGAAACAATATATTATATATTAAAGATAATTACAAAATATATTTATTATTATAAATTACATGTTACTTAGATGACACTCAATCGAAATTACCAGTATAATTACCTTATTCATAAGCAAGGTCCAACATTTCAGTAAACATTTCTAATGACCGGCGTCAGATGACTAATGGCGAACTTTCAGACAGGTTTACGCTTTTACAGGTTTGTGAAAACGATATCCTAGTGGTGGATGTAATAAATCGTCTTCCTGGTAAAGCAGCAGCGGTGCATTGGCGTGGACAAACACAAATGGAAATGCCTTACATGGATGGCACACCGTTGGTCACGCAATGTCCAATACCAAGTTACACCACTTTCCAATACAAATTTCGCGCTTCTACAGCTGGCACGCATCTCTGGCATGCGCATGCAGGTTAGTAATTGTTGTTTACGGTTTACGCGCTAAATATTTTGTGGATTACAATCGAAAAATATTGATAAGATTTTCGTGGATAATTAAAAAATTGTACATATCCTTTGAAATTACTATCAAATTAATTAAAAATTATTTTTTTATTTTTAATAATTATATTTTCAATCTATAAAATTATATCTACAGATTTCGACATTCAAGTTTAAGAATGCATATTATTATTTTTAAGTTATATTATAAAGTTAATATTATTATTATATATATTAAATGTAGTCATATAATAATAATAGATTTAATTCATTAATATTGGTACCGATTTTGTATTATCAATTTTGATTATTAATCATTAAATACGATTTTTCAACGCAACAAATTGTACAATGACCAGCATACAAAACTGTTTGACCGACCCATTAAAAAAGAATCTTTTCAGGGGCTGACGTCATGAATGGCATTATCGGATCGTTAATCGTGAGACAGGCAGATCTGCGGGAACCCCATCGCGCCCTTTACGATATCGACGATCCTAATCACGTGGTCCTAGTGACCCAGTGGCAACATTCGCCGGAAGTATCGTTTAATCAGGGTTACTCGAAACCGGCGATTCTTTTGATCAACGGGAGGGGTCGCCAGCCCAACGGACCCGCGGTTCCTCTGAGCACGTTCACGGTCATTCCAGGACGACGTCACAGATTTCGCGTCGCCAATGCCGGTGGTGCCGGTGCATGCCCGGTGACTCTTTTCATCGACGGCCATCCGCTTCTTCTGATCGCGCTCGACGGACATCCTATAGAGCCGCGACAAGTCGCCTCGATTACTCTGGCCAAAGGTTGGGAGTTAATTTTTCCTCGGATCTCCGTAACAATTAACATCGTGCACGCGACATGTCAATTATTTTCCGTGATGTTGTCGGAAGAATCGAATATGTTTAATCGAAACACACATACTTCCGATTTGCATCCTTCATTCTTTCCGTTAAGAAATTGATCACGTAAGGCTATAGAAATTAGAAAACGAAGAACGCAAGAACATCTTGCACGAGTCTCGCAAGTTGTTCTCGCGTCTTCGATTGTAAATTTAAGTATAGCAGCTAATGACATTTATTTTCTTAAACGCTTCCGCTTCCGAATGTATCGGATCTTAAGTGCGTAGCACGTCCCCACCCCTCTCAGAACTTTTATCCTTTGAGATTTGCGAGAAAGTTAGAATTCGATATTGCAAACGCAAGATCGATTGGCCGGGAGTAACTTTATCGTTACTAAGAGCAAAACTTCATTTCCCGATTCCTTTCCGTCGAATTTCATCGAATACCGCCGAGACTGATGGGCAGTCTTCGATATTCGTTAAAGGTGAAAGGGCGGACTTTGTCCTCAAAGCGAGCAAACGCATCGGTTCCTATTGGATGAACGTGCACACGGCGAAGGAATGCGGAACGAGCGCGATAAATGGCGCGGCGATGCTCAACTACAAGGGCAATTCGGAAAATCCTGCTGCAACGGCGGAAGCTATCGATCAGGGCGACGTCGACGAGATAGGGACGAACCGGCTGGCGGCCGTGACAACGAATCCCGCGGAGAAATGCGGCGACCGGGAGAATTTGTGCGCCATGGACATCCAAAATATCCGCAAAATGCCGCAGATCCTGGCCAAGCCCAGGATGGACGTAACGCTGTATCTGCCGATTAGCTATAAGATGCAAGCGACGGAACTGATAGGTGCGTAACAACGTAAAAAAAAAAAAAGAATTTAATGGGAACGTCTGATGGGAGTGAAAGTGCAGATTAAGATGCAACCGGGACGTAATTGCACGGGGCATTAATTAACGCGGGCAGGCTTGGATAAAAATTCTGTCGTCCGAATTTCACCGCTTGTTTTTTATTCACCACATTATATTCAAATGCGGGTTATTAAAATTTTGCTACCGAGGATACTTTGTACGTAATAGCGTCATATGTCGATTAGAAAGCACTTTCACCGCTGTGATTTTTTTTTATAATATATCATAAAACTTCTTCCCGACTAATGTTTTGATAGCTCAAGAATTCATCTTTTCTCAGCCTTAAGGCTTTCAATGCAAAAAACTTGACTACAATGTTATCAAGAGTTAAAGAGTTAAAGAGAAATTTGTAAAAGATGTGAGTATACAAATTTTACCCTTAAATTTCAATCAATTTGACGGGAATAACAATTTTACGCGATTTTATTGTAGCTTATCGAAATATCAAATGTAGAAGTAGATAAAAGGAGCTGCGGTATAATACATTAATTTCTCATTAAATTTTCGCCATGGAGAAATCTCTCTAAATTCTTAGAAATAGGTATCTGATTGCTAACGAGACACCGATAATGGGACGGCCTACATTTTCAATCACTTTTCGCACGCGCGGGGAAGAAACTTCCGAACGCGCTCGCGTCGCAAGGCACATCGCGAAAATGACTCGCGTAATTAAAATGACATTAAGAAAACTGCGTGCGGGATAGTTTCGAATCTCGAGAGAGTGACGCGTGCACATAGGCATGATTATCTAATCGCAGCGCGAACATCCTTTCCTCCTCTTCCAGGTAACGGCGGGACGGAGGCGCGGATGTTGAACGTGAACAACGTCACTTTCACGTTCCCGTCCTCGCCGCTGTTGACCCAGGGGGAGGACGTGTCCCCGGGGATGCTGTGCACCAACAGCGACAACGAGGACGAGCTCAATGACAGCAACGAGACCGTGTCGCGGCGCCGGTGCCGTCAGGCCGGCGACGTCGGCGCGGGCGACATATGCGAGTGCGTGCACGTGCGCCACGTGCCGCTCGGAGCGACCGTCGAGATTATTCTCTTGGACCAGGGTAATTAGTCACATTCGAGCGTGATTAAAACGCAAATGCACGACCTCGCGATGTGACGCGTGTACGCTCACCTCGTGTATCGTTTTGATTTAATTCGAGCTCTCCGCATTTTTTCTACAGTCCTGCTCTCCTCCGTTCCCGTCCATCCAAAGTCCTGATGTTTGTCCGGGTTTAGAAAGTCTGAAAAAGGATACAGAAAAGATAAATTTTTCATCCGCAATTTTATGAAGAACTTTTCGTCATTTTTCTTTCTTTCGTTTTATCAATATTACATATTTTCCTTGATAAAAGTGATCTGATGATAAATATATATATTGAACTAGAATTGAATAGTACAAATTCTATAATATTCGAGGACCAACAATGCTGCAGTAATCTCGCAAATTTGATGACATTATAAAAATAAGTTTAAATAAATTCCTAATAACCAATATTTCCAGTGAGACTTTTATAATTAGAAAAAAACAATTTTTGAGTCATCAAATATTCATATTATGTTAAACTTCAATAAGAATGTTTAATGAAGATATTAATATTAATACGAAACATGACAAGGTTATTGCGTGAACTCATTACGCCAATTGTATGAAGGAGTACGGTTTTCTGCGTAATATATTGTACCGCGTAGCTCATTAGTTTAATTATTACACAGTCTCTCTAAGTCTCATGGTTGAGGATAATCTTACAACGAGCGAAGCGGCACGTGAGAGAACATTAGGGCATGCAGAGTTTACGGTTGACCCCGATGTCTGCATATCTTGTATTTGCTGCGAAAGCTAAAGTTATTGATCGAAGACTCTATCATCATAAATCACCTTGTGAGGAGGGAAATGTATAGGTACTATTTTGCCTCACAAGAAACAATACTTGATGCGTCATCACAATTTCTTCTAATACGATTGCGACAACCGAGAGAAATCCCGCGACCTCCGATAACGTGGAACGATTGGTCTCTCCTTCATAAAGCTTCGCAATCACACGAAACTAATTGCAGCATCGACCGCCGCGCGGGTCCATGATATTTTTCGTGGAATTGTATTTTCATTGACCATTTGCTCAAGGACGATTTTTCCTACGCAACAAGACCTTTTTGGTGGATTTTCTGTGTCCATGATACGAGAAAATTGTTTTATATATTTTTATAATCCATTATAGGTTCAGTATTTCGTAATTCGATATTATAAAATAAGTTCATAATAAAATAAGTTCATAATAAAAGTCAATATTATTAGAATAATTTTAGCTAAAGTAGTTGCGAGCAGTGGTAATGATTTTTTGATACTAGGAGGCATTTCTATTCAAATCGAGATTAATTCATCATCGTTTTGCCACAGGTGGTCTGGATGATCTAGTTTATCACTTACACGGCTACAGTTTTTACGTGGTGGGCGCCCGGCAATTTGGGCGAAGTATGTCACTGCAAGAGGTGAAAAAACTCGATGAGAGGAGGCAGCTATTTTCGCGGAATCTCGATTGCGCACTAACCAAGGATACCATCATTGTGCCCAAGTTCGGTGCCATCGCGCTGCGGTTTAAAGCCGACAATCCAGGTAAATCCTTTCCGTTAATCGAACTGACATAAATACTTAATGTACAGACCTCTCTTCTAATGGGTTTAATAGTTAATTTGCCAATTTTCTTCAGCAAATTGAGGATAAAAATTCTATCGTTAAAATATAATATCAATAATTCATCAACAATTCATGAATTATTAGTGATTAAAAATAAAAATGTCTTGCAAGTTGAATTTCAAAATATATAATAAGTAACCAAACTTTTGATTTTAACTTCACATTTTAATCATTAAAAATTTAATCGTTAAGCTGTCTAATATTGAAATTTTTTCAATATTAGATCTCTTAAGAAAAAAAGCGACTTTGACAAAACTACATATTAGCTGCACTCGATGGAACCATTATTCTTTTTTGACTTCGCAGGTTATTGGATGTTGCGGGACGAGCATGCGGCCGATTGGACTCGTGGTTTAGATATTATCCTGCAAGTTGGGGAACCTAGCGAAATGATAGCCGCGCCACAAGACTTTCCCAAATGTGGATCCTTCGTTGGACCCGATTACTTCCTTATATAGACTGTTTTGAATATATCGTTGAATATATATAATTGTATATAATTGTATATAATAATAGCGCTTCAGAAAGGAACCTATAGTCTTGAGACAAAAACGATTTTTATGATTAAATATCCACTTATGTTATTCGCTAAATCGTTTGGAAACCATCCAATATATTTTCTCGGAAATTCTCGCGTCATCATAATTATTTCCTCGGCAAAATTTTAATTAAATGTCAATCTCTTTACAACCCATCCATTTTCAACTTCGAGGAACTTGATATTGATTTGTAATTTAAATTATAATTTTACCATTAATAAATTTTGTTTCAAAGAATTTGCAACTTATCGCTTATATATATTATAGCGCAACTTTGTAATTTTCAACCTTTAACAACTGAGCTTCGGGTAATGTTCATATCATCGTTCGTGGAGCAATCGTGTCTGAAAACTAGTAACAGTAGTAACCGCGTACCTAATTAGCGCGCGACTTTTACCGCGAATGCACCTTTCACGCGGTGTTCCCGTTGTCGCTCGTTTTCTTCCTCGAACAAACGATAGGCGCCTCGCGATTCATCTCGGCGCACGTCAGGCGTTTCGATTATAATTGGATGTAACCGCCGATATAACCGCGATTCGTTCCTTCGCGGTGACGGATAATTCCGAGAGGTCAGGCTGAGACGCGTAGCGTCACGCTAAGTGATGTCCTGCCTGAGCGGGTTGCACACGCAGATAGGGACCCTGCTCTCCGTGCCCCACGAGATTCTACTTCTGCGACACAGGGTTTTCCGCGAGTACGCAAAAATCGCGGTCGGCCCGGACTTCATCCACACGCTGCCGTCCTTCCTGATCCTGACGGCCGCGGTGCTCGTACTCTGGAAGAATCCCCCGTCCTCCACGCGGCTTATGGACCTCGTAGGCGACGCATTCATTTACAAAGGGTTTCAGGTACAAAAATCCTCGCGATCTCGTTAACTAACGCCCTTCCGTATACACGTGCGTCTTTCAAGGTGACAGTCAGCTGCCTCGTGATTAACGCGCTTTTATGGCTATGGCTGATCCTCCAAAGGATACTCTACTGCAGCGTCTGGCATTATTGGAGTTACGTGAGTGGACTCGTTATTATATTTTTCTCGTAACTACATGTAACAAAGAAATTGCTTTCGTAATGCTTGAATTGTCCGCTTTTATGTAAGAGAAAATAAGCGCCTGGATATTAAAAAAAAGAAGAAATAACTTTTGAAAGTTTTTTCCGAAGAATAAAATATTATAATGGAACAAGAGAATTTTAGTCTAAATTATTATAATTAATTATCAGTCTATATAAACTAATCACTAATAAGTCTAAAACTGTATAGTTTCAGGCTTAATAAAATCAGCCCTTTCCGATAAATTAATTATATATATTTAATTAACTAAATTTACTACTTAATTATAATTAGTTTATAAAGACCTATAATAATTATATATAATCTACTAATTATTGTAATTAATTTACCTTTTGTGTGCGATATAATATTTAGAAAATTTATATAATCAATATAGGAATCAGAATATCGAGATATTTCGTATCCCTGGTGGCAACATGTTTGGTCCTCATATTATCCTGTATCCGTACAACCGCCGGTGATGTCAGCCGGTTTTATTAGTTGGATAATCGCGATGTTGATTGCGGTAACCGCTCTGGGATGCGCAAACTCTACAGATCGCGTGGAAACTTTCGTTAAAGAATTCTTAACTAAATTTCGAAATGCCCTTGCAATGGTCAAGTCAAATGTGGAGTGGTCACAGGACGAGTTAGTATTGCGATTCGTGTTTTTAATTATCTCCTCTCGCGCATTATCGCGTTATAAAAGATGAAAATAAAACGAGAAAAATAATACGTACTAATAACGACAAAACTTATATAAAATAAAAATGTCCTTTGTGAAAAAATTTCATCATTATCAGAACGCAAGAGATACTCGTAACTGATTGTGAGCATACTGAGGCGAACGCGGCAATGGAGGATGGCGAAATGAGCTTGGTTTGCGACGACGGCCGCTCGGAAATGTCGAATGATATAAACAACCACGCCGCGCGTGGAGATATACATCCGATTTCCTACGGAACGAATTGGATGCCGCAGCCAAATTTCTCCGCGTTCAAGGATGCGCAGCGAAAAATATCGATGAAATCCTTTCACACGGTGACAGGCGCAAACGACGTTCAGGTAACAACGAGACAGAGAGAAAATTTCGTTTCAGTGTTTAATTAATGTGAGATTATTGTTTAATTATCTCGGTACGATTTCTACGTCTCATTTTATATCCTATTACCTTTAATTTTCCCGATAAACGATCATGTGGAATTTACATACCGATAGGATTTTTAATTATCTAATGTTTGTGCTCCAAAAGAATTTTTATAAAATTTTTTACTAAAATATTTTATATTTTATATATTTTATGCATATAATAATATATAAAATCAAGACTTTATTTTATAATACTAAAATTTAATGCATCCCATAGAGCGATCATGTTTTTGAAGTTATCTTTTTAGGATGAGAATTTAAGTTCTTATTTTTTCAGAAATTTCAATAGAATTCCACAGAAAATCCTAATTGTGTTAAACAAGTGATGATGCGATATAATTGATACAATTCTCTCGTTATTAAATTTCGAAAAAAGTCCTAATTGTATTAAACAAATGTTGTAACACGGATTGTCGCAGGATCCTGACAAATTCACGGCTAAGCAATTGCGACACCGACGCGGCTGTCACACTGTGATACCGAGCAATTCCAGCGAGCAGTCGAGCGAATGTTGAAGAGACTTGTCAATGTTCGCTGAACGATCATCATCGAATAGGTCTTCGGTTGAGCAATGCTCATGGGAAGAGATTTCCTCGTAGGCGGCGCATTGATCACGCAAATGATATTGCACAAACGACGAGAAGGCGTTTATATATACCGATAAGCTTTTTATAAATTTTATAATCATCTAATATTTATGCCCCGAAAGAATTTTTTTATAAAATTTTTTACAGAAATATTTTGTACGTGTGATATATGAAACCAAGACTTTACTTTTGAACGATAGTCGAATGACTATTAAAGAAGTACAATAGTTACGTAAAGATAATGCGCGTAACTTTGCGCGGTGAGGTCGCATCCGATATCAATTATATCAATAGAGTATGTGTCTGTATATATAAAACTTTTATAAATAAACGTATAAATTTTTAAAATTTCTTATATAAATTTCTCTAATATTAAAAAATATTCTTCTTAGGTAAATATTACAAACTTATAATAAATTGTAACATACATTTATTTTTTATTCCAGTGATAATTTTTTGAAACAATTATCAAAGTGCGATATAAGTGTTTTTATTTGATTAATAACGTTGAAACTTTTAATAAAAAAATATTACTATATTCACTATTATGTTTGCCTAGTATGAATAAAATTGCTTTATATCTTATTATCCTTTTATATTTTGCAACATTTGCAAATATTAAAATTTTACACAATTTTATTCTATTTCCATGATTATTTACTCAAGTAAGTAGCAACATTTTATTAATTGTATGATTAATTTTGTAGAAAGTCAAAAGAAAATACTGTGAGAAAACATTGCGAAAAGAATAGCTAAGCCATCTAGAAAAAAAAAGGTAAACGACAGAGATCTTGTTAGTATTTTAAAGAGTTTTTTTTTTTTAAATAAAGCACGGCGTTCGAGCCACCGTCTGCGGACCCTTTGATTATTTATCGAGTAAAAGGTCCTGCCGCCTCCGCCAGACCCCAGGACTCCGTCACTTTGCACTGCCGGCTGAGGGAAGGGATGCACAGAAATGCGCATGCGTCCAAAAGGGGTAACATTCCCCATCTTGAACCGGAGCATTATTCTGTAACCACGACCCTTGTGGGGTAGGTCGCAGATATTCGTGACCAACGCGACGACATACATCAAATAAACCTCGTTCACGCTGAAAGTGCGCTTTTCCGAAAAACATCACCGTTGACAAGTGTACACACGTGCGTTATCCTGGGATCGATTTCCGGCCGGGAAGGACCACCTCCGGGAAGGAATTCAGGAAGAGGATTCGCTCCTCCGAAGTGGAGTCGGGCGTGAACGGTCCTACGCGGCGTAACTAACGTCTACTTCCTTGTACGATGTGATTATTACGCAATATTGAATTTTACGCCTGTCACCAGACACGAAAACTCGACGGTCACGGCTGCTACATCGGAATTCTGTGTACATCCTTTGGTAAGACGACCGAGATTTGAAAAAATCTGAATGCTAAAGTAAAATTTTTATCGTTAAGACGTATACGGACGACTGAGACACTAATTGTAAGACATTTGCGTTCGTTTCGTTGCCTAATCTAAATCCCTATCTAGAATATCTATTTAGAGTAAATAAAACAATGTATTAAAAAGACAAGAACTATTCTCATCACGAGTCAGATGTAAATTATATCTAACTGTAAAAAAACTGTAATAAGTAAATTGACGATATAAGTACGTTAACTGATATTAGAAAGAAATTGCATGATTTTACGTATTTGAGAATCAACGCTGTGCTAATGCGTCGTAATTAATAATGACAAACCTAATTCGAGTATCTGTAATCGATAAGCGCGTATCGTATAATGATCGAGATTATATTCGTACGCGACCTACGCGATTCGTTTAACGATTAAGTATTTTCCTCGCGCAGTCAAGCGCATGATGCAGCAGCTGCATCGTCATGCCATGTAAGGTCCGTTAATTATGGCAAGAATGAACGTAGCATTACACTATACGGACGGTAATAAGTTTATAAACCGCAATTTTTCAAATATTTTAAACGTATTTGAACGAGAGAGTAACTAGATTGTACTTTTTGACATTCTTATTCCTTTTTTAATTAATAATATGCTAGATATCTTCTAACGTGTTTTATCCATACACGTATATGTATATAATCGTTTTTGAAAAAATGTTACGTTATATTAATCCGCTCCTTTAACAATTTATGCTTAAAAAAATATCGATTGAAAAAAGCTTAAATGTCAAAAAATATTAAATAACGTGATTTTTGCGGAACAAGGCTGAACGTAACTCCGTTAGTTTGTGCTATAAAAATGAAATATTATAGATTGTAGAAGTAAAGATTTGATGATTTTAATATTTGTTTCAGTAAAGAATCGACGATATTAATATTTCTTTCAGCGAAAGAAAAATTTCAACACTTTTCACCTATTGCTAATTATTACGCAACAAGACTTATACACACTCGATTCACGTCGCTCCGAGAAGTTTATCCTTCGCTTCGTTATCAAATTTTCCATTTTTTGTTTTCAGCTTGCGCGCGCTTTTATTTTCCTCTACGTGACTCCCCTTCCCACCCTCTAATTCAAAGTATTCCCGATTGATTCTAGTACAATCACGTTCTCTGACGCAATCGCAATCCGATTGGGTATCAGCGTCGGCCTCGGACGCTTGCGGACGCCTCCGAATTTCACGACGAGGTTCACGGTCCACGTGTGTACATAGACGCGATGTAAACTCGATATTGATTTTGCGTCCAGCATCCGTGCGCGTGGAGCGCGCGCACGACCAGCGGTGCGCGGCGCGCGCGCGCGCGCGCATGATATAAACGCAAACATATGCATGTCACATACACACGTGTACGCGCACGTAGAAACGTGTATACATTACTTTGCACGTGCAAAACTCTCTCTTTATCGCCGGTGCCGAATCGGCCGGGCTACAAACGGTGAAAGAAATAAGGGAGAGGATTTCAGCTGGAGGAGGGGAGGAGCTTGAATGAGAATGAGCGAGCGCGACGCGATACTGCAAACACGCGTGTAGCGACGACAATACGCACGAATAGACGCGATACGTTGAATAGGGAACCGGTTGCATAGGTTCCCGCACTGGTCACCGAAAATCGAAGCGAAGTTTCGCAGAAAATATATAAAGCTGTCGAGGGAATCAGGATTCTGAACTGAACTCGGATAATTATCTCTGCCTGATTTCAAATTAATCTCATCGGTATAGAGAGATAAAAATTTAATTTATTGAATTCGGCTAATCCGATGTTGAAGCGAATGATTCTAAAAAAATATTCAGCGATGCAGACAAAAATTTATCTTTCGGTCAATTTTACGTAAACTTTTGCGAAATTGCAGCACTAATTACGAAAATATTTAATGTCAAATATGAAAAATGAATTGTAAAGACAACCTTCTCTTCGCGAGGAAAAATTTGATTTGAAATTATTCGAAGAAGAATATAGACAAAGCAAGTAATAGAATATAAAAGAGATATTGCAGAAGTTTTTTTTATTTTTTCTGTGAGAGATTCAGATTCTTTTTTTTAATTATTCTTTTGTATTAAAATATACACAATGACAACAAAAATGTCCACAAACTGCATTTCAGTTTTAAATTTAAAAAATTAATAAAAAAAAACAGATGCAAGTGAGATATATGTTATTTTCGAGAAAGTTTTTAAAATATTCTTTTGTTAGAAAATGTTTTAAATGGTTTAAAACACAATGAATACGTTAACACATTTGCATTGTTCGTTCACGCAGTTATTAATTATGATTCATTCGCAGAATGCAGCTGCGTCATTTAACATTATTTGTTCAAAAGGTCAACGAGATTTATGACATATAACTATATATGCACGTATGCTATCTATAAACATGTTGGAAAATCGGCGAGGTAAATGAAACTGAGCAGAGTTATCGGAAAACCAATCCCCGAACGACACTCGTAATTGCGTACCATGCAATTGCGTGCCAGACCTTATCGGAACGTGGGCGGGGAGAAATTTACCGTTAGGGGCATCGTTTTTCCTACAAATGTAATAGAGGTTACGGCGAAATGTCGGTACGAAATGTTTGAGGCAATATACATTTATACGGCTGCCTCTTCCGAAAATCTCTAATATTAAATCGCCGCTACTTAAATAAATTAATTTGCATTGAACAAAATCTGCATTTCTAAAGAAATCTTTATAATTGATTTAATCGGGCATCAATAAGGAGTTTGCAGAATTTTATAAACTCATAATAGGAGAGGAAAAAGTTTTTGTCTCTTCAAGCTTCACAAAGAAGTTTAAAGAAATAGAAGGAAACCCAAGTGTTACGAAACTTAATTTTTGAAGAAATTTAAAGGAATAAAAAGAAATTTAAATGTTCTTGAATTATTAATTTGATTTTGGAAGATTAAATTTTACTTTCCACAGAATGAATGTTCGTGACTTTTTGCTTATCCATCTTTTAATTCTCAATTTTTCGAGACATTAAAAGAATGAATCTAAAGTAAAGTTCTTCTCATATTTTGTCAAGTTGTAGCAAGACATCGCGTGTGTATCCTCTCTAGCGGAATTATATGGCTTAACTGCGTTATGAGATAGGACAAATTCGTGATAATCGATCGCACGAAGGCCGCAACAAATTTGCGTTTCATCCTTCCAATTACGCTCAAGGACATGAGCTTGACGCTTCCGCCTCCGTAGATATTTAGCATCAATTTTCGTGCTTTCAGGCTCCATGGCGGAAAAAATGTATTACTGGGGCGAGGAGAAGGACCAGGTCGACCCCGATCAGACCTTCATACAATTCAAGGCCAAATCGGTGGCGACGGACAAGAAGCGCGAGCCGTCTCGTGCTGTGCCGAAGATGACGGTGTCTTCGCCGCAGGGTAAAATGACTGAGATCGGCAACAGAGAGGAGGATGCCGAACGCGGCGGTTGGGACAATAAATTGGACTTCCTATTCTCTTGCATAAGCGTCTCCGTCGGATTGGGAAATGTCTGGCGGTTCCCTTATCTATGCTATAAAAATGGCGGCGGTAAGTCGCTGCTGGATTTAACATATAAAAGATCGATCCTTAAATGTTCAAATTTTCAATCGTCGTGTAAATTCATAATTGCATTGTATCTATATTATCAAATTTTTTATTCTTATCGAAATAAAAAGCTTATTCTGTGTTAACATAAAGAATATTTTTGTAGTTGAAAATTTTGTACATATATGTTGTTATTTTATTCGATCATTTTATAATGTAAAGTTTTAATAGAGCACCGTTATTTCATTTAGATGCTTCTCACGAGTTTTAAATTTGCCATTATAAGTCGAGAATGCAGACAGTGTCGGATTTCAGTGGCATCCGACACATTCATAATTACCCCTCTGGTTTACGACGTCATGCAATCCTTAGCATGATGGAAACAGCATGCGCTAAAGTTGAATTTCCGTGGTCTTCTCGAGTTTAATTATCTCGCTGCTAACTAGGTTCCTTTTATGTTCATTTAAAATAAAATAAGAATAAAAAGGAGAACGAAAAAAAAGGAATGAATAATTTTCTTTAACAAATGATGGAATTTTGCCGCAGGCGCTTTCCTGATCACTTACGGCATTGCAATGCTGTTTTGCGGAATTCCTATATTTTTTCAAGAAGTCGCCATTGGACAATATCTTGGAGCTGGCGGAATGTCGCTGGTAGGACAACTGTGCCCTCTTTTACAAGGTATAATGATTACTTTTCGATATCGTTATAGACATTAAGATTGGCCTAAATATATCAACAAATTTGGTAATTGCGTAATGTATTGTCGGATTTCAGGTGTGGGATATGCTACGATGACCATTGTATTCTTCCTCGACGTATATTACTGCATAATTATTTCTTGGACTCTTTTCTACCTCATAAGCACGATCGTGAATATACCGAGAGTACCTTGGAATGGATGCGGTAAATAACAAATCTCTATTATTAAGAATTAATATTTAAAACGTACACCTCGTATCGTATATCTCGTAGAATAGTATGACTTAAAAACTAGAAAGACAATTTAAAAAACGATTAAAAATATTAATATAAAAGGATTCTTAACTATAACTTACTACTCTTTTATTTTTAGATAATATTTATGTAAAATAAAATATCATAATTCGATGTCATAAAGCTTTGAATAAATCTAATATATATTAATATATGCATCCACATATATTAACATCCATTAGCATAGATAGTCAAGTTATTTCATTTTCAGGAAACTGGTGGAACACGTATGATTGTTATGATGCGAACCAAGAAAGCACGAGTATGCACGGAAAAATAAACTGTTCGAATTTTAAAAATAATACCTGTCACCATACCACACCGGTAGAAGAATTTTGGGAGTAAGTAATTAAAGAATGCGTTATTAAAGAATACTGCAAAAAAATATACAAGGCATATAAAACAGTGCGCATAGAACCATATAATGGATGTGATGGAACACGGAGAAAAAAAACGCTCGACCTGTTTCATTCAATTACTTTTAATAATCCTTCAAACTAGGAAACTTTTCCAACCCGGAAACTTTGAGTTTAATGAAATGGGATAGGTATATATGTATGGTATATGCATCAGATTTATATCCCTTGTGGGCAGCGCCTGTGAGTCACAAGCGCTGTGATGTAAGAAAGTTATTAGGGGATTTACTGTGATATAACTGTAAGAAATGCGACATTGATTTTCTTAAATCAGGTCATAGCACAGAATTCCCTCGTGTATAAATGCGTTTACGTAATGTATAATGTCGACGGTATATAATAATACCGGCAGAATACATTTATACGCATTATTATTGCATCATAGACTGCAATTTATCGAACTAACGTCGATAAAAATCTATCATCAGATTAAATATCCTTCACGAAACAAGTCAAGCAAAATAAAGAATCATCGCGATGTGAAAATGCAATTTTCGAACGTGTAGTTTGTTGCAATCATATAATGTGCGTAGTTCTAAATTTATGGTTCAATTCTAAGCAGAAACGTAAGTTATTTTCGTAAAATTTGTAAGCATTTATGACTGGAATTACAATTCTATGCGTATCGTAAGATGTACGATTATTCATAAATATCTATAATTTCTCGTAAATCTTACGACTAGCAAGAAGTTATATCTTATATCTGTAAAGATTTTGCATAAAGTTAGAAGCACTCAGTCATAAATTCTTATAAGTTTTATGAAAACAAATTACGCCTTCTGCTTATAATTGATCCCTTAATCTGAGATTTATGCTTAACTTTTCCCTCTTTTTAGAAGCATTTTCTGCAAAGTAATGTTTGCGATATCTCATACCGATTATCGTGGCATTACGTCGAACATTAATTATTAACATCGAATCGACTGCACAGAACGGTGTTTCAACTTTCAGACAACGAGTCCTTGGCATCACATCCGGCATCGAGAGCATTGGCAAGATCCAGTGGGAGCTGCTGGGCTGCCTGATTGTCGGCTGGCTGCTCGTTTACTTTATCATCCGCCGCGGTCTTCATCAGAGCGGTAAGATCATCTGGTTTTCAGCCTTGTTCCCGTACGTGGTGCTTTTCATTCTTTTGGGAAGAGCGGTGACGTTGGAGGGTTCCTACGACGGTTTGCTTTACTACGTGACGCCGCGATGGGAGGAGTTGCTCAATCCCGGACCGTGGATAGACGGCGCTACCCAGATCTTCTTCGCTTACAGCATCGGCACCGGTGCCCTGCCCGCTTTGGGCTCGTACAACAAGTTCCATCATAATTGTTATAGGTAAGCGACGTGTTTCACCGGATCTGGCTGGACACCGGCACAAGACGTCTCGTTTCCGCAGCGTTAAACTTTGATAATAGATTTTGCTTATCCAATCAATTTTCATGAGTTTTTCGTCAGAATATCGAAGCACCAATATATGAAGAAAAACATAAGAAAAAAAAAGAGATAAAAGTATACGTTTCCCTAACCGAACTTAATTTGAACTCGCAGCTCCAAATGGAGCTCGAACAGTCCACGTGTACATTGCTACTTTAGCAATTTCAGATTTCGTTGGTCCTATTTCGTAAATTATGATTCAAGAATCATAGTAGTTATGACTTTAAGGTGCTCTTTAACCACGACGCGCTAAACGCAGTGTCGTCGCAGCTGGGGTCTTTCAAAAAGGGAGTTTTGTCTTGCAGAGACGCAATAATCACTTGCGTAGTCAACACCCTGACATGTCTTCTGGCCGGTTGCGTAACGTTTTCGATACTGGGTCACATCGCCCAGGAACAGCAAACGCAGGTGTCCGAGGTCGTCAAGAGCGGACCTGGTCTCGTCTTCCTCACGTATCCCGAGGTCGTTTTGAAGCTACCCGGTGCTTCGTTGTGGGCCATTATATTCTTCGTTATGCTGCTCGTAAGAAATTGTTATTCCAACGACGGAATCGGCTGTCGCCGTCTATGTTTGTTCATGTACATCGCTAAAAAAAAAGGGTTTGAACACGTTGTCGCCCTCGGTAGGAAGTTTCTCTCGATACATCATCATTTAACATCGCTTTTTTTTTTGCTAAGAAAAATTGTGAAATATCTATAGGAAACGATATGAATACAAAAGTTAATTAGGAAATAAGTTCCAAAAAATTTTTTTTCAAAATTATTTAGCAGCAAAAAAGTTTAAATTTTACATTTTGAAATAATAAACTTCTTGTAGTGTAAAATGATATTATAACCAATTTATACATAAAGTTGTATCAACATAAACAAATTTAGTAATGACGTTTACATTTTATTTCCTATAAACAATTTCACAATTTGTAAATATAATAATTATTTGAATCACTTCATACAGTTTTTCCCCTCTCAGTTTGCTGATAGACTATTAAATAACAATGTAATGTAATAATGTAATATTGTAAAATGTAGATGCATATTATGTGAAATTTAAATTTAGATTTTGGAGCAATGGAATGGTCAAGCATATGGAGAAACTAGAATTTTTTAATCTCTCATTATTTAAACATTAAATTATATAAATCGTTTCGTTTTTATCCAGATACTCGGTATCGACAGTGAATTCTGCATAGTGGAATCTTTCATAACCGGTATGGTCGACTACTGGCCGGATACGCTTCGTCCACACAGGATCAAGTTCACCATCGCTATCTGCCTGATAATGTTCGCTCTGGGAATTCCGATGATCACAAACGTTAGTGTTCAAAAACACGTTTTTATAAGATATATATATAAGTACCAAGCGATTAAAAAATTTCAAGTGGCAGTTAATCGAGAAAAAAAAAAAAGAAAATTAAAATTACGTTTCAGGGCGGAATTTATATTTTCCAACTGATGGACTTCTACTCCGCGAGCGGAATGTCTATTCTGTGGGTGTGTTTCTTCCAAACGATCGCGATATCGTGGATCTTCGGGGCGAAGAAGTTCTGCGACTGCGTGCACCAGATGATGGGCATTCGAATGAATAAATTCTGGTATATCTGCTGGGTTGTACTCGCCCCCGTGATCATGCTCGTAAGTACTACATTTGCATCTAATTAACGTCGGAGATCAAGATTACTCCCTTCTACAAAGGGAAAATTGATCGCGGACTAGCTCGCGGAAATCGTTATATGTAAAACATGTAAAATATATTAAGTGGAGCAAAAGGAGTAAAAACCCTCCCCTTCTCACTTTCCAGTTCATCTTTATATTCCAAATTGTGCAGTATAAACCACTGAAATATGGCAGCAGCTACGAGTATCCCACGTGGGCTGAGATAGTCGGCGTATGCTTGAGTCTCTCGTCGATGATATGGATACCGGGATACGCGCTGTATTACGTAGTAATTACGCCAGGATCATTTAAAGAGGTAAAATTTGAACATATTTGCGTGCAAATCGTATGCATATGAAAGAGCCCACCCTTCGCCATTATCGCGCACATCTCGCGTAATGGCTATAATCATCGCTGCGGGCTTCATTTGAATTGTAGATGTAATCCGCCATTATGCGCGGTGTTTCTTTTTTTTCCAGAACATTCTGAAGGGTCTGCAACCGAATATAAAATCGCATGCCAAGTTACCGAAAGGCGAAAAGTCAGCCGTGATACCCATGTCGGAGAGCAGCGCAGGCTTAATTACGAAGAATAACAGTTTCCTGAGTCAAACATGATTAGCGTTAGCAATCACTTCTAACTTGTTAGGTTACACTTATCTTAAAAGTAATATTTATAGTAAGGTAAATATGTATATCTATATATAGTGGGTCCAGCACGACTGGGCATTCAGTAGTAATTTGTGTCAAAATGGACGCGTGTCAAACTAATCAGTTTCATATAGTATGCTCAGTTAAGCAATCATTATACTATTTGTTTAATAATAAGACAGTAATATATTTCTTTAGTGACGTATTTCTGGTAAGAATGTCAAAGATTCTCCTTAATTCCTTAATAGCTGGTTAATTGTAGAATCTTAATTATTGTAATAATATTTTAATATTTTAATATTTTTTTAAAAGAAACGACTTTTTCGAAGAGACTTTCTCTAAAAGAGATTATATATAATATATATTATATAATAATTATATATTAATTTAATAATGAATTAATGTTTTAAAAAGATTAGTGTTTTAAAAAGAAGATAAGCATATATATTGTCTTATAAAACCTGTTCGAAATTTGATTATCTAAATTCTTTGTTAATATTCATATAAACTATGCCAGCTGTTAATGTTTTAAGATAGAGAATTTTAACCGAAGAGAAAATTATTTCGTGATTCGCAATTAGACGACTCGTGTTGACCAAGCTGATAGGATACTCGATAAAAGGGGTATAATAAGTATTGGAAACAGGACGGGAAGGAATACTTAGAAGTAATAATAGTATACACCGCGCTAGTATTCAGATAGCTATTTACGGGCAATTTGAAAGAAGTATATTTTTATATCGCGATCACGTCGCGATAAGGTATATAAATTTTTAACGGAGAGAGAAAGAGAGATCGTTTGGTTGATAATTCGGCTGGTTTAGGAAAATAGAAAGTTCTCGTGTTGAAGCACGGCCTGCTTAAATGTCGAACAGAAATTTACGTTTCGGTCGTTTAATCAAAGTCGTGCACTGGCGAGTATTCGCACAGCTGAAGGCTCTTCCTGGTGAGCGCGGTAGGGGATTTGCTGAAGCTACATGAAATAAAATAGGAGCATAGCGTATATAGAGTAAGGTTATTGGCACAGTTACGCAAATATATTCACAATATCTGAAGTACAAGTATAATGTTTAATATTCGTATATAAAAATCAAGACGCGACGACCGAGTGCGTTCACCGAGAAGAGACGTTTTCAATTCCAACCAGTCGCAATAATCAACTGGACCGTAGCAGGATACAGAAGATTTCTATCACAAAGTTTTAGCAGTTTTATACTGCATTCAACTTCGACGGCACAAATTTTTGATTTCTTTTCCACGTTACGACCTTTATAAAACATACATTATAATGTGTTTACGATGCGACGTATAGGATTAAAGAAAATTTCCGAGGTTTTTACACGAAACTCAATATTCTTTTCGGAACATGTAACGCCGGTCATGCATTTCTCTAATTTTATAGCAATTGTTATCTTCGAATTTAAATAGGAGACATTTGCAATCAATTACCTTTGCATTTGCAATTAGCATTTGCGATCAATTACAATCGAATATTTAGTGTCTGAGACACTTCTAACAGTATTTTATAAAATGAAAAGTTAAATTTATTAAGAAAGATATATATATTTATATATAATTATTCGAAAAAATTGACTTTTTTTATTTCACGAATGTTGTCTTAATTTTTTTAAATCAAAGTTGCAACCAGAGTTTTAATTTGCTGATCGGTTCAAACATCAAAATATCTTCTTGCAAAAATTCAACAGTATAAAAGCATTTTGCCGTATTATTGGTAACAAAATTGTCATTGTTCATGATTTTTTTTTTCTACTACTTAAAATCGATGTCTCATTTTTCCAACGTAAAAACATTTTTGTCTGAAAGATTTTTTATTTGCTCGAAATACAAAAAGCAATAATGGCAAACGGAGGAAGTGCTTTTTTCAACTGGCCTAATTAATTTGGGAATGTTTTATCTTATTTAGTCCGTAAAGTAACTCATAAAATCGCGCGAACGCTATTCGTCGAAGTGTTGCAATTGTTGACGTTGTATAATACTAAGAAATGGCTGATAGCTTAACGCGATATTCGTTTCTATTTTAGTACCGTAACTGTTGCGACGCGAAGTACTTCCAATAGTAAGCTAAGAACCGAACGATATTATAAGCCAGTTGGGGTCTGCGTTGAACAACGTTGTATCTATATAGCATTATTAATTTGCAATTTCGTTTTAGCGACTGATAGATTGGCAATTGCGATGTGTACTTTACTGATTTGAACGGCGAACTGTTTGTAACGGATAATCGTATTAGAATGAAAATAGTTGTACACATGCCGGGCGCGAATCCCGCGACCGCGTTTGATTATTAATCGACAAATTATTCAATGACACGCGAACATAAGAATAAAAAAAAATTCTTTCACACCCGTTACGCGAGCAACGGCTGCGATTGTGTGTGTGTAACGTCGCAAACATTTGCTCAGCGCGTGATAGCATAATAACGTATTTCCCGTGTGTAACTGTATTCTGTAAATGTATTCAGTGTTACGTGCGCACAAAGCACGACGAAACAGAACTACGAGCATAAATTTCCGCAATTACTTACACGGCAACGTTTCTGGATATGCGTTATTGCCGAGTGGATTTCCGACCCCACGGATAATTCAATTATGGCTCTACGAATCGATGTTCGGCCGCTACAGAAGAACAATTCGTACAAAAAATTATAAATGTGTTACACAAATTATATTTCTATATACACGTATACATTGTATATGCACGTTTTATACAGTGTATAATAATATATATTACCGTTCGAAAATCAAAAAAAGGAAAAAACTTGAACCCAAACAGTATTGTTCCTGTGAATGGAAATTAAATACGAGGGGGAAACTTTTTCATTTCCAAACTTTGATTAAATCTTTAATTTTTCATAATACTTGCATGCAAAAAAAATATTTGTATTCGTTTGTATTATTCGTTATTATAAATAATAGGAATTATTAAGAGATTATTTTACACTCACACGTTTCCCGCGAAATACTTTCAAATTGTTCGCGAAACACGTGCGCCCGACATTCAAATTTCTATTTAATTTTGCCGAGAATATAAAATTTCACTAAATGTAAAGAGATTATTATTTAGGTCTAGATATAAAATTTGTTGTATCATTTGAAGAAATAAATATTCAACATACATGGAATATATCTTGATATGATATCACGGAATTTTCTCATATAAAATGGTATCTTAATTACGTTTCTAAATTCTTCTATTATATTTTTGTTTAAATTGCTATTTCTGGATTTATTTTGAAATCTTCGATTTTTTGGATTTTCCAAACTCTGCTAATGTATTTGCAAGATTTATCGACTGCGTTGACACGGATTCAGCGTGCTTCATATCTTGAGAGCCACATTTTCCTACGTTTCACGGCGAAACGTGATAAAGCAAGAGAGTGAGAATCTTTCGTGAGGTGTGTAAGAATTTTTAAATATCTTTTTAGCAAATCAGAGATATTTCTAGAAGTGTATAATTCGAGTGACATAATATTGTACACGCACTCGAAAACCGAAATTCGTTTAGACTTACTTTCCGAGCAGTAAAAAATGGTTAAAAAAAAAACGCGTTACTTGCGAATGTGTACTGGCTTGCCGTATTGTGAATGTTTCACATATTTGTGACATTACGTATACGTTTCCGGCAAAATTGTATCGATATATGTACTTGAATAAACATTAACGCCTAATTATCGCGATGGTTCCCAGTATCTGTACCCACAGCAGTAAATAAGACTTCCCAACCCTGGTGATCCAATATCTGTTACCATTGTCGTTGTGCCGTTTGTTTGTATACCATTTGTGGATGTTTGCTCTCGTAACGCGTTACATCAATTGTTTAATAATTATTTCAAGCGTAGTTACGAATGATAAAGGCAGATTAGAAGCGTCTATTAACTGCTATCAGCATTTGGGGTGTTACATTTTGAATGCCAATAGAATTGCGTACACACAATTCTGCATAGATGATTCGTGATTAACGAACGTGAACGCAACGTTTTAACGGTTAACAAAGATTATTCATAATGAATACGATTGCATAATGCTTTTGTAATATTTCGCCTCTCTCGCGAACTGTCATTAGCAAGTCGCACTAACAACACGATGTTAAAATAATTATTATACGTTAAATAGATATAGAATTTCCAGTGACTGTCTCCTACCCTTAAATATTAATTACCGGTGGCTTTTGCCAATTCGATCGAAAATTCGTTTTTACCGAAAAGAAAAGCTGTCGAAAAATATATTCGGTTCAGAGCCTTTCACGCACGAGTGTAACGCGACGACAGTGCACTTCAATTAACAGTTACGAGAGTATTTTAATTAGTAATTAAGCGCCCGGACGGTTACGTCATACGGACAGAAACGCGAACCGTACGTTCTCTCGCGGCCACTACTCGCGAGGGTGGGGTTCCATTTGGTATTTCGCAACGAGCGTTTCAACCTCGACTTTTTCTCATTTCGCGAAACGACACCGTCGTTCCGCGGCGTGTTTTACGACGGCTGAAGAAGACGACGGCGGCGGGCGGCGCGGCGGCGGCGGCGGAAGCGCGGGAGGCCCTGCATGTCGCACCCGTCTGCTACCGCACTAAACTCGATCGTTACGCGGTCTTTTATTTTGCGGCGGGAGCTATTATCGGGGTACTAGCGCGCATCCTCTCTCTCTCTCTATAGGACCCACCTATTATCCCGGTCGCCGGCAACGCTCCCTTTTACGTAGATGGGCGTCACCGTCAGGAGCTTCTTACACGCGCGAAACCGCCTCTTGACCGTGCGAGCTGCGCCCGCGGAAAGGATGCATTTAGTTAGATTAAATAATGTCGCGGAAAACTCGAACACCTGCATCTCATTTTCTTCCCCCTTTTTTCGCTGTTTGGCACGTGTAAATACACGGTTTTAAGTTTCCCGAGCGAAGAGAGTGCACGACGTTGGAGGAAACTTTGTTAAAATGTCTCTCAGAACAAGAGTAAGAATGTTTTTAATTTTATAATTTGCATAAATTTCAGTGATAAAAAAAATGAGGCTAAAGTGCGTCTTTTATCTCTCAATTTTATTCTCTAATGAATTGCTACTGTTCATTTTCTCCTACTTTTGTCTGGGGTTGCCTAAAAAATTATTCGAGTCTGGAAGTTGGTGCATAGGGGACGTTCTATTATTTATGTCGTTTTTTATACTAACCAAGATTGATAATCAGAGAGTGAAATAGAACTTTTTCTCTTAACTAGGCTTATTTTTTCAGCGATAAAATGTGAGAGAATAAAACAAAAAATTAATTTTTTCCACATATCAATTATACAGATTGCTTCAATTGTTTAAATTATTTGCTTAAAAAAATTAATTAAAAAATCCTATTACGTTCTAAATATCAGGAAAACAAAGCCAGTTCAACAGACTAAATCAATGTTACCTGAATAAAAGTCAATAACGAATAAGAATTTGATATCTACACGGGATGATTTTAGAACTAATTGGACTGGGTTAGAACTCTTTTTTTTAAGTCAAGATAAAAAACGCGGTAGAAAAAAAACTTTGTCACTGTTTAATATTAGATTATACTTAATCTATCACTCTATGATTATATTTTTTCGAACAATGCACCGATACAATAAAAAATACATTTGTTTTCAAATAAAATCATATATATTTTTTTAAATCAATATACCTGCGAATCTGAGCGCACGAGTTTTTACTATTGTGGTTATCTAATTAAATTATATAACAAGAAAAATTATTGTATTGATACCTTCGCGAGATTTTTGACTATAACTTACCTAATCTTCAAAATTTAACCTATCAAAATGTTGTAATTGCGAGAGAAATACATATATAAAGCATACGTAATAAATTATAACACGTCTCCAACTATATATTTAATTTGTACATAAATTAAATGTTGTAATTTTAATATAACTTTTTAGTGGCTAAAATACATATTTTAGTACATTTCGATGACATTTAATTTGTTCCATTTAAAAGCCTTAAAAGCAGACCATATGGCATATTTTTAGTTGTATTATTACGTAAAATTTGCAAATTAAATTATTTTTGCCCAACATAATTACGACGCAAAAATAGCGTTTTATCACTATTTTCGTGTGGCCACAGGTAAATGGCTAACGCTTTTCGTGCTCTATATCCATTATAACCGATTCGCTAAGTTTAGCTATCGGAAAACGGGGCAAAAGACAGTACGATATGCTATCGTGTTACATTTACCGCGAAAGGATAGTAAGCTGCACCCTGCTTTCGATTCTCCTCGCCATCGACTTGTATTTCGTGTGCTGATTAGATCCGACTGATCTGATTCTGTTGCGAGATGCAGTGATCCCAGAAAAGTGCACGGTGCTAATTCTTTTCTTCGTAAATGTAAGATACTCCAGTTAATTGACTTTTATACGGATTTCGTTACAATTCAAAAACAAATTATGCAATTTGAGTCGTGTCTTTTTTAAGATTTCAAGAATTCTAAACTACATTTGTTAGATGCTATATTTTAACAATTCTCAACAATTAAATAAAAAATCCTAATTCGCTAATTAAATGATAAAATTTTATCTCTTTAGCCTAAATTCGCAAAATAATTCCATGATTTTTGTAGTAGTAATTGTTTAATAATAAAAATCTAAAAGATATTCGTATTTAATTTTAATTATGTAATTAAATATGTACGCATGAGAGGAGTGTACTACCGATATAGCATAACCATTTTCTATCTTTTTTCCATTTCGACTTTTTAAAATCTTTTCTTTCATTTTTTAATCTTTTTCCAATTGAAATAATTATTACATTCATATTCACTTTATTATTGTCTCTTCATAAGTACGTATTTCAGAAGCTAATATTATCATACTAATATTAGCATTAATAAAAGAATATTTATTGAGAAGAATGAAATATTCTTTCATAACTAATTAATTTCATGTCTGTAGAAATTGTATGGTCGTCGTCAATTCGTGCTGAGATAAGTGTTTCTGCGAATTAAATCAACAAAAAATTAAACCAACAAAAAATAACCTTTTACGATGAAAATAATTGTAACTTCTCTCGGTACAAACGTATTCATTAACATCTACCTAATGCGAGGACCTCAGTGATATGCCTCCTTTAGCGAGGCAACGATCGCGTTCAAGAACATAAAAAGATTGGCATTTCAAAATGCCATTTAACAAATATTATATTTATTGCAGATATCGAAATTTGTTAGATAAATATTTAACGATGCGAAAATCGCAAAAACGTTCCGTAAAGAATGAGAATGAAAAAATACCTCGCTTTGCGAATTCTATTTGTAATCGATTGATAATATCGGTTTTTCGAATTTCTGTCAAGTTTCGCGTGACATATTAATTATATTGGAAACGCGATTTTTTAATGTCAAATTTTGCGAAAGTGAGATTAACTAAGAATAAAAACATCTCTTATAAATAAATTTCAACTTAAAAAATTGTATGATTGACGTCAACTCGTTGCTAAAACCAAAGCTTCAGAGAATTCGATAAATCCAGGTTTAATTCTGCAACGAGTCGCCTAATTTTAACAGGGTACCGACTCGATGAAAAATAACTTTCCATAATAAAGAACGTTACAGTTTCGGCGATACGAATGTATTCGTTATGTCCATCTGTTCGTTAACGTTCATCTAACGCGAGATAGACAACGATAAGACCTTTTTGTCAGGAAATGATCATGGTTAAATACCGTGGAAAGAACGTAACATCACTTTACGATGTTATAGTATAGTTTTAACAAATGCAGTTTGCTTAGCGATTTGACGAAATATATGCGGAATTACACCGTATATATTCATTGTAGTCAATGACGACTGTCTACCGTGCGTAGATTTCCTTACGTGTGATGTATTTACGCTGCGTGGAATCTTCGAGCCAAATTGAACCTACCTACCTATCTTGATTCTGGCCACATACAGTCTGAATGTATTGCAGCCAGATCGATATGGAGCAGAGAAATTCCTTCTGCTGTCGACTAATTATTATCGCCGGCAGATAACGTTACGCGCGCGATTTATTATTACACGCACCCGTCGATTGCAACGCACAAAGATGCATAAAAATGAGCATTCAATTAACTGAAAAAAAATAAACTCGCAAAAAATTGCATTAATAGCCCGAAGTTATTACGAGTATAAACTTCGTTAAAATGTACAAGCGTATTAATTAAACAAGCCTGCATTATTTCGTGACGCACGTGACTTTTATATGACTCAGAATTATAAATGCATAAATGTTCAATCGTATGAAAAATTTTAAATAAATTTCGTTTTAATTAAAATACTCAAATTTACTTCGTGAATCCTACGAATTGATTAAACTTTACGCGATGTGGATTAATTTTCAGAAAATAATTTATTAATTAACATTGTCAAAAACATGCAAATCAAATTTTCATCTAAAGCCTGTCTATCACATCATTATCTGAATATGATCATAATGAATAATCAACAAAAGACATGGCGGCATGCTAACCTTTTGAAGTCTTATCTCGAAAACGTTCAACAAATTAAATTGAATAACAACCTAAAAGACTTAAAAGATATAATAAATTTTTCTTATAATTATTACTATACATTTCATATTTTCATATTCCTCTTTTTTATTCATTTGAGTAACGTTAATCCAAGTAAAACAATTGACTATTTCAATGGTCTATTCCTTATTTAAAGATATATTCTTTA